CGAGATAATGTCACCGGGCACACTTGAGTTTGGTATTGGCTTCATCCATGGACTAATTAGTGCATAATTAGCCACTTAAAGTGACCCCATTTTCGCAGCACTTTCAGAATGCATTCTTTTCAACTGCATACATCACTGCTCCTTTAAAACAAAGTGTACCTCACAAGTTGCCAAAAAAAAATTATTGCATAATCTACGAGATCATGTGACTGGCCACACTTTATTTTGTTTAAAAGGAGCAGTGATGTATGCAGTTGAAAAGAATGCATGCTAATAGTGCTGGGAAAATAGGGTCACTTTAATAAGGGGCCAATTAGTCACTAATTAGTCCTTGGATGAAGCCAATACCAAAATTAAGTGTGCCCGGTCACATGATCTCGTAGATTATGCAATAAAATGATGAGTTTTTGACAACATGTGAGGTACACTTTGTTTTAAAGGAGCAGTGATAAACGCAGTTGAAAAGAATGCATTCTGATAGTGCCTGGAAAATTGGGTCACTTTAAGGGGCCAATTAGGCACTAATTAGTGTTCGGCTGCAGCCAATACCAAAATTGAGTGTGCCCAGTGATGTGATCTCGTAGATTATGCAATAAAATTATGCTTTTTTGACAACATGTGAGGTACACTTTGTTTTAAATGATGCATTTATTTTTCAACATCTCTAAAAGCGTTCGAAAATTACGTTAAATGTGATGATTCCCATTAAGCAGTTAATTTATAAGTAATTATTGCATCAAATTTTCAAAACTCGTTGACGACATGGCTGCTTATATTGTGAACTCTATACACCATAGAAAAATATTGATATTTGTCGTTTATTTTCAAAAATTCGCTGAATAACATAAATTATCTATCTGGAAAACGGATCACCTTTTGCAGCATGTATAACATTTATAGGACGCCTTTAGTCCTCAATAACTGAACATCAAACATAATTCGGACATGACATTATTTTTCCTGAAATCCGCATTAAATATATAAAATAATTGTAAATTTGGCGGTGAAAGCCCATTTTGTTATGCCATTGTCACGTGACAGATACACCCCACACACATGAAACCAAAATAGAGTGTAGGCGGGACACCACTCTTTAAGATGCCATCGGCGATTCGACTTTTTCTCCTACACTGTTTGGTACACTTTGTCTCGAAGTTTAACTTATGTTTAATGTTGTACAACCGCAGTACGATTTTTCTCAGGACGAGTATCACGTGATTCATAGCTGCCCTAGATCTGAAACCAAAATAGTTCATAAGAAGCCTCTAGTCCTCAATAACTGACCATCAAACATAATTTGAACTTGTTGCGTTTTCGGTACACTTTCTACTGAAATCCGCATTAAATATATAAATAAAGTAAATTTGGCGGTGAAAGCGCATTATGTTATGCAATTGTCCTGTGAAAAAAAATACACCCCATACACCTGAAACCAAAATAGATTGTAGGCAGGACACCACTCTTTAAGATGACGTCGGCGATTTGACTTTTTCTTCTACACTGTTTGGTACACTTTGTCTCGAAGTTTAACTTAAGTTTAATGTTGTACAACCGCAAAATGCTATTTTAGTACGATTTTTCTCAGGACGAGTATCACGTGATTCATAGGTGCCCTAGATCTGAAACCAAAATAATTCATTGGAAGCCTCTAGTCCTCAATAACTGACCATCAAACATAATCTGGACATGTGGCATTTTCGGTACACTTTTTCCTGAAATCCGCATTAAATTTATAAAATAAAGTTAATTTGGCGGTAAAGGCGCATTTTGGTATACCATTGTCACGTGACAGATACACCCCACACACCTGAAACCAAAATAGAGTGTAGGCGGGCTACCACTCTATCAGATGTTATCGGCGATTTGACTTTTTCTCCTACACTGTTCGGTACACTTTGTCTCGAAGTTTAACTTAAGTTTAATGTTGTACAACCGCAAAATGCTATTTTAGTACGATTTTTCTCAAGACGTGTATCACGTGATTCATAGCTGCCCTAGATCTGAAACCAAAATAGTTCATAAGAAGCCTCTAGTCCTCAATAACTGACCATCAAACATAATTTGAACATGTTGCGTTTTCGGTACACTTTCTACTGAAATCCGCATTAAATATATAAATAAAAGTAAATTTGGCGGTGAAAGCGCATTATGTTATGCAATTATTATCACGTGAAAAAAATACACCCCATACACCTGAAACCAAAATAGAGTGTAGGCGGGACACCACTCTATCAGATGTTATCGGCGATTTGACTTTTTCTCCTACACTGTTCGGTACACTTTGTCTCGAAGTTTAACTTAAGTTTAATGTTGTACAACCGCAAAATGCTATTTTAGTACGATTTTTCTCAAGACGTGTATCACGTGATTCATAGCTGCCCTAGATCTGAAACCAAAATAGTTCATAAGAAGCCTCTAGTCCTCAATAACTGACCATCAAACATAATTTGAACATGTTGCGTTTTCGGTACACTTTCTACTGAAATCCGCATTAAATATATAAATAAAAGTAAATTTGGCGGTGAAAGCGCATTATGTTATGCAATTATTATCACGTGAAAAAAATACACCCCATACACCTGAAACCAAAATAGAGTGTAGGCGGGACACCACTCTTTAAGATGACGTCGGCGATTCGACTTTTTCTTCTACACTGTTTGGTACACTTTGTCTCGAAGTTTAACTTAAGTTTAATGTTGTACAACCGCAAAATGCTATTTTAGTACGATTTTTCTCAGGACGAGTATCACGTGATTCATAGGTGCCCTAGATCTGAAACCAAAATAGTTCATAGGAAGCCTCTAGTCCTCAATAACTGACCAATAAACATAATCTGGACATGTGGCATTTTCGGTACACTTTTTCCTGAAATCCGCATTAAATTTATAAAATAAAGTTAATTTGGCTGTAAAGGCGCATTTTGGTATGCCATTGTCACGTGACAGATACACCCCACACACCTGAAACCAAAATAGAGTGTAGGCGGGCTACCACTCTATAAGATGTTATCGGCGATTTGACTTTTTCTCCTACACTGTTCGGTACACTTTGTCTCGAAGTTTAACTTAAGTTTAATGTTGTACAACCGCAAAATGCTATTTTAGTACGATTTTTCTCAAGACGTGTTTCACGTGATTCATAGCTGCCCTAGATCTGAAACCAAAATAATTTATAGGAAGCCTCTAGTTCTCAATAACTGACCATCAAACATAATTCGGACACTTTGCATTTTAGGTACACTTTTTCCTGAAATCCGCATTAAATATATAAAATAAAGTAAATTTGGCGGTGAGAGCCCATTTTGTTATGCCATTGTCACGTGACAGATACACCCCACACACCTGAAACCAAAATAAAGTGTAGGCAGGACACCACTCTTTAAGAAGTCATCGGCGATTGGACTTTTTCTTCTACACTGTTTGGTACACTTTGTCTCGAAGTTTAACTTAAGTTAAATGTACAACGTTACCGCAAAATGCTATTTTAGTACGACTTTTCTCAGGACGAGTATCACGTGATTCATAGGTGCCCTAGATCTGAAACCAAAATAATTCACAGGAAGCCTCTAGTCCTCAATAACTGACCATCAAACATAATCTGGACATGTGGCATTTTCGGTACACTTTTTCCTAAAATCCGCATTAAATATATAAATAATTTAAAAGTAAATTTGGCGGTGAAAGCGCATTATGTTTAATATGCCATTGTCACGTGACAAAATACACCCCATACACCTGAAACCAAAATAGAATGTAGTCGGGACACCACTCTTTCAGATGACTTCGGCGATTCGACTTTTTCTCCTACACTGTTTGGTACACTTTGTCTCGAAGTTTATTAACTTAAGTTTAATGTTGTATAACCGCAAAATGCTATTCTTTAACTAGTACGATTTTTCTCAGGACGAGTATCACGTGATTCATAGCTGTTCTACATCTGAAACCAAAATAATTTATAGGAAGCCTCTAGTCCTCAATATTAAACTGACCTTCAAACGTAATTCGGACATGTTTTATTTTCGGTACACTTTTTCCTGAAATCCGCATAATAATGAAAATAAAGTAAATTTGGCGGTGAGAGCCCATTTTGTTATGCCATTATCACGTGACAGATACACCCCACACACCTGAAACCAAAATAGGGTGTAGGCGGGACACCACTCTTTAAGATGCATGCCATCGGCGATTTGACTTTTTCTTCTACACTGTTTGGTACACTTTGTCTCGAAGTTTAAGTTAAATGTACAACTTTACCGCAAAATGCTATTTTAGTACGACTTTTCTTAGGACGAGTATCACGTGATTCATAGCTGCCCTAGATCTGAAACCAACATAATTTATAGGAAGCCTCTAGTCCTCAATAACTGACCATCAAACATAATTCGGACATGTTGCATTTTCGGTACACTTTTTCCTGAAATCCGCATTAAATATATAAAATAAAGTAAATTTGGCTGAGAGCCCATTTTGTTATGCCATTGTTACGTGACAGATACACCCCACACACCTGAAACCAAAATAGAGTGTAGGCGGGACACCACTCTTTAAGGTGTCATCGGCGATTTGACTTTTTCTTCTACACTGTTTGGTACACTTTGTCTCGAAGTTTAACTTAAAGTTAAATGTACAACGTTACCGCAAAATGCTATTTTAGTACGACTTTTCTCAGGACGAGTATCACGTGATTCATAGCTGCCCTAGATCTGAAACCAAAATAATTTATAGGAAGCCTCTAGTCCTCAATAACTGACCATCAAACATAATTCGGACGTCCTTCATTTTCGGTACACTCCTCGATGAAATCCGCATTAAATATATAAAAATTTATCACATCAATAATGTTGTTTATTGGCCTCCGTACTTTATGAATACGCGGCTGGATACACGGATGAATACGCGGCTGTGGTATCTGGCCGAATACGCGGCCAGGTTCACTCTCTGCCCTGGGTATAACGAACACAATGTTTTTCCCAGACGTTACTGGCAAAAGAGTACGACAAGTTAATGCTATGATATATTTCATGTCACGGAGCCTGACTATTACAACAAGTGGAGCGGTAAAATTCGATTTACGCACACGAACAACTTCTTAAACTTCAAGAAAATGTAGGAAATTGATGTCCTTTGTTCGTCCTTTTTTGGTCAAAGACATAGTAGAAATGGAAGATAGAAGTGCATTTCAATTGTCGAATCCATGGATATCGGAAGATCGAACAACTGCGGCTGTTTGTAGCGCCATTCGTCTGGCGGAGCGAAGTGGTCATTTAAAAACGGTAGGACTAGAGATTTTGGGTCAACTCGTACCCGAGTTAACTCGTACCCGAGTCAACTCGTACTCGAGTCAATTCGTACCCGAGTCAACTCGTACCCAAGTTAACTCGTACCCAAGTTAACTCGTACCCAGGTTAACTCGTACCCGAGTCAACTCGTACCCGGGTCAACTCGCACCCAGGTCAACTCGTACTCCCCTCCTTTTTTAGTTTGGAAGTACGGATGGATGGTTAATAAAACTTCCGATTTTTCCTCAAAAACGGCGACTGAGAAATAGTAGTAATACAAATAAAGTTCAAGGATTAGTTGAAGGCGGTGGTATCAAATGTTGCTCACAATCTGGATGAAAAGGGAAAATGTACCGTTCATCGGCAAGGGCTTCATCGCGAACGGACGGGTACCACGCGGAGAACATTTTCAAAACGGCATCAGTGTGGTACTCACGAGTCGACGGAGCCCTCGCTGATAAACGGTAAATTTCACTTTTCATCCAGATCATCAGATGTGTTATTTTAAAATTTGTGTAGTATTTTCTCTTAGTAATGATGTTTTTCCTTTCTTTTTTTCAGAGACCCTGGATCACTGAGATTGCGGAGTGACTGTGCGAACTGCTACATCTTTTTTTTTGTTCGGTCGAACGTGTTTTAAGGGCATAGTTTTCTTTTTACGAATTTAGTATTTAAGACCTTTTTTTATTAAAGAAAGCTGCTATTAAAAAATGAATTTTGTAATGTAAAAGTAATAGTTTTCAACGTTCACTCACTCCATTTTTGGCATCATTTATTGAATAAAAACTGCACATGGCACAAATCTCTTTGGGAAGATTGGGGGCCCTGAAAGTACAAATCTGAAGAGAAAATATATTACAGGAAACTTAAAAGAGTCACACGGACATCGTTATTTAATTTATAATGATTCTTTAATATGTTGGTCATTTTTTGTACAATTATTTCGGTAAATGTCGTAAAACAAATCTTGTGCAGCTCAAATAAAGTTTCTGCGATAAGTTCAACTAGAATATTATTTTGGTAACAGAAATGTAGGATTTTTAATTATTTGTTTACATTTGAGGCATCAATTAAACACGATAAAGTTTCATTCAGAGATGCTCTTTCTATAAGTTTTAGGGGACCAATTTGTTAGTTGATCCTTGGGTGTGAACGATTGTTTGACATTAGCAAATTGTAATTCAATAAATTGATAAAAGCATGCATACTTTGGGTAGAACATTTATTTGAAGTATGAAAATTAGCCCCGTATTAAATATGTACAACTACAACTTACACCAAGGCCTAATGCCGTTGAAAAACGGCGAAGGTTCCGACACTAACTACGCGACGGCAAAAACACCGTGCACGCACAACCACTTTGACCGGCGAGTGTGCGCACAGGACCGTGCACGGTACGACCACGTTGACCGATGAGTGCGCGCCGCGCACAGGCCCGGCAAAAACGATATCACCGTGCACGGACGACCACGTGGACCGGCGAGTGCGCGCACAGGCCCGGCAAAAACGATATCACTGTGCACGGCGGTACGACCACGTTGACCGGCGAGTGCGCGCACAGGCCCGGCAAAAACGATATCACTGTGCACGGCGGTACGACCACGTTGACCGGCGAGTGCGCGCACAGGCTCGGCACAAACGATGTTGCACGGACATCCCTCCGATATTGCGTATGTTTCACTGATTTTCTTTTCGAAAATAGGCAACTATTTTGAGCTGCGGGTACGAGTTGACTCGGGTACGAGTCAACCCGGGTACGACTTGACTCGGGTACGAGTTGACTGGGGTACGACTTGACTCGGGTACGACCTAACTCGGGTACGACTTGACTTGGGTGTCAATTTTGGGGTACGAGTTGACTCGGGTACGAGTTAACTCGGGTACGAGTTGACCCATTTCCGGACTGGACACAGGGCAATGGCATGGGTCATGGCGCGGGCGCGTATGCGTAGGCCTCGCCCTAGCCGAATGCGCCATCGGTGGATCTGCGCAATTGGGTGATCGCGCTGCGCTATGTGATCTATCGTTCACAGAATTGACCTATCGCCGTCGAGTTAGCCACGCCCCTTAGTCAGCCAATGCAGTCTTTGCGGTACAACATGCCTAAGTTTTGTTTGTGTCAAATTTTGGGCGTTCCGCGTCCATTTGTCGTGTTTGTGTAATCGGAATGGTAATCCTTACTTTTAGGACACCTCTATTTTTTACGAGTTCTGTTCAAAACTGACTTTTGCAGATGTCTGTCCAGTACCAAAGTGACTTTTGCAGTCAGTCTTTTTTCTTCACATAAATAAACTCATGTTAGTTGCAATTTTGAAAGCACTGTCAAAGAAAATGTGAATTTCCTACTTTTTTCGCAGTCAGACGTGCATGTTGTAGTTCTCACCACAACACAGTAAAAGCCCTACATAATGAAAGCCCAATGCAATGCTGATTGGCTGCTAAAAAATAAATAAGATGTTTATTTTATCAGCCAATCAGCATCGAGCTTTCATCGCATCGAGCTTTCACGTTTGCCATCTTGGATTTTGAGTCTGTTTTCTGGTTGTCATCGTCGTCTTTTACCCCCGAATTTCCCTCATGAATCAAAGCCCTGCCCTCTTTCCACAAAATTAAACCTGCTGATGTTCAAGAAGGTGTCATTGCCAATTGTTCAGATGTGCCAAGAAATATCAGAATGTCAATTTTGAGTGTCATTTAGTTAACTGTTTTGGTGAGTCTTTCCCTTCCTATACGGGAACGGGGTCCTAAAAGTAAGGATTACCATTGGAATATTACAAGCTGCGTTGACGTGATTCTAACGCGATTCTAACGCTTGCGAGTAGGCCACGCCCCTTAGACAACCTTGGAGTTTTTGTAGAAATTTGTGTACACTAAGTTTTGTTTGTCTCAGATTTTGAAGTACCGAAAGCTTTCAAAAAAAAAAAAATCACATTTCTTAATGTAAGACTTTCTCAAATGACACTGAACAAATGAAACTTTATTTGTTTATCATATCATATTTTCTTTTCTTGTCATCTCTGAAATAAAGAGGAGGGATGAAGCATTAGCTGAGATGGTCCAATCTCTACAGGCCACTTCACCGTCCTTGCATCTCATGAAACAGTTGAAAGAAATGACGGCAAAAGGTCAACAACTAGACAAGGTGAGGTCAGGGTTTGTATCCTCAAGCTTGATGCTGACACACAAGTGACTCTAAGTCACCCTGCCGAATAAGCCACTTCGGTATCTCAGTGAGGTAGTCCAGTACTTTCCTAATCTGACAGATAATTTCACACAAACTGGTGTCTGAATGTCTCTTGTATTCTCTGGACAGGTTTTGACCTTCTTTGGTGCCTGGGTTCAGTGCCCAAGGGTTCTGCACCCAAACCCATTGCTTCTTTCATCGTTTTTTTTTTTGTACAATTTTTTTGCCGCCTTAACTTTGGTTTACAATTGAAATGCTAATTGTGCTTGATTTTTAATTTTTGAATAGACCTGAGACGTAATGATGTCACGGTTTGTTTACATGTGCGCTTTTCTATGTAGTAGACGGTCCCCACTTTATCTGGCGTCCCGACTTCGCTCCCATAGGAAAGCGCATATGTAAACAGAGCCATTACGTCATTACGTCTTAGGTCTATTGCATATTTTGATTGATGTTTTTGGACAGACAACTACAGAGATTCAGTGCCGATTGATGGACAAGGAGACAAGGGACATCACACACCTTGGTATTCTTGGTGAGGAGGCTGTAACTTTGCCCCACTTTGTGGGCCTATGGGATGAGAGCACAGGGCTGAATCACAAAGCCAAGGGGGAACAAGTCAAGAATAGAACTTGACTAAAGCCATGTTCCCTGCTAGCTTGCCCTTGTCTAAGTTCAGTGATTCAGAGATGAAACTTTTCAGATTTTAATCTGAAATCAGATTTTTTTTTTTACTTTTCCAATGAAATTTCAGATTATTTAACAATCCCACAAAAACGATTATTTAACAATTTTTCCACAAAAATGTTTTTTTTTCTTCATTATAATTTCCAAAAAAAGTCCATGAAAAGTCGATGAAAATGGCACGTACAAATTTTCACAAGTTTCACCAGTTTTAACCTCTTGTACCAGTCATGAAAAGAGTGATTCTACGGTAGAAACACCTAGGCCAACACTGATCACATCCTTTTCCGGCTGGAGAAAAGGTTAAATACTGACCTATGACATGGAAAAATTAACAGGGTCCCATGTTGATGCGCTGCGCTGCACTGCACTGCGCAACGCTGTGGCAGCTTGGACCCAAGGTCCAATTTCAGATTTTTTTGGCCAAGGCCACTTTCATCTCTGGTGTTTATACATAACATTCCCCACAGTTTACATTTTGCCAATTCATGTTTTGCTCATCTTAGCTCCTTAATTGTTAAGGCCAAGTCACACTTCATGTGGATGCATAGATGCAAGATTTAAGAAGTCAATTAACTGTCGGAACCTTGTTAATTGTGCTAAATATTATGCATTTGCTGCTCAAATCCTGCCATGATATCATGGATTTGCCTGCATTGGTGATGCATACCCAGCCTTACCGTATGAGACGTTTCTTTTAAAGATAAACAAAATTCTCTGGCAACTTTTGATTTTCAGAATCCAAGATTTCTCAGCTGGACCTGCTCAGTTCACACCTTCAGGCCGTCGTGCAGAGCAAGGACCATCTCATCAATCGCCTGCAGCAGCCCTTCGTCGGCGACTACCTAAAGATTGAGGCCACCTACCACAGGCACGTCAAAGAGCTCTTCCCATTGGTCGCTTCGTGCCTGGCGGAGCTCAGCAGCAACCTGGAGACCATCCAATGGACAAGCGGCTTTGACATGAAGGACGGGAAAATGGTGAGTTTCCATAAAATTCAGATTATACATCAGAGGTGTGCATTGAAGAAACAACAGCTGCTGCTGAGATTTGTTTTTGTAAACAAACTGTGGAGTGGAGTGTCACGGCCGAACGGTTAAGAGCACCGGACTCAACCTCTGGTGTTTCTGACCAGCAGAGTGTGGGTTCGAGTCTCGGTCTTGACACTTGTGTCCTTAAGCAAGACACTTAACCATTATTGCTTTGTCCTTCGGATGGGACGTAAAGCCATAGGTCCCGTGCGTTGTATAATGCACGTAAAATAACCCAGTAACACTTATCGCTAAGAGAAGAGCTTCGCCCCGGTGTTTCCATGATCATTTTTAACTTTTGACGTTAATTTCTTAGACATAAGTACAAATGTCCATTCTGTTTCCATGAATTCATGACAGGACGGAGCACTGACGGCAATCTCCACTTCACTGGCCCACCTCCAGACAAGCTTTCAAACCATCTGTCAACTGCGGAACACACTGGACAATTTTGAGTCACAGGATTCAAGATGAGTGTTAAACCTACCGTTTAAAAAAAGGACCCCTGTTTTAAAAGATACGGTTAAACCATTCAGTCTCTGACTTGACAGACTTCATTACGAACAATTTCTGCTCTGGAGACACCAAACCCTGGCACCCAAGGACTTCAACTGTTGGCCTTCTTGCATTGCTTCGAACGTTGTCGTTGAATCTTGAGCTGGAGACAGAACCAAAGACAGACAAAGCTGTGTTTCGTAAGCCCCCTTCGGTTCTGGCACTGTCCTTTTTGACAAGTTGAGCGGGGTACGTGAAAGTAACAGTTGGTTGGAGCTTCTTTCAATTTTTTAATTGTTTTTCTAAAGTATGTGACTGTGTGTAAACATGAGAGGTGGCGGGGGGGGGGGGGGGGGGATCGGGAATCAACAAATACGTATGTTTGCTAGAGATACCATTCGTGCCCAGTAAATATGTCCCCAGTATTCTTGTGACATAAGAGCTGCCTCATCTCTTCGGATAGGAGCAAGTTCGGGCAAGGACCATTAGTCGACCAGTGGTTGATTCGCGACATAACTTACTCCAGCTCACTAATAGCAACGTGGGAACGCCTCTAGTCAAACAATGGTCAAAAGGTCATTACGAAACTTCTTGGTCCATGATCCCCGTTGTGGTTTATGATGCCCGCAGTTACTGGTAACCAGCGATGTGCCCCGTGGTGCAGTTCAAAATAGTCAAGTAGAGTAGTTCAACCATCCATCGTTCGAGCGAAGTTAGCCGAACTATGGTTAACTGTCGTTCGCCTCCAAACTTGCTCTAGGCTACAAGCTGGAAGTCTCGAGAACTACAGTGGAACGCCGCTGTAATGAACATCGTGATCCACAGAAAATGTTCGTAATAGTGATCGTTCAGTATAGCGATTTTAAGCTGCCAGTGCTCCGGTACTCACTTTTCAATAAATGGCGCCCTTCAGAACTTCACCGTGCAGGCCCTGGTAGTTACTGAAAGACAACTTCGAACACGTTCCGACTATTGAATTATGTAATTACACAGTTTTGAGCTTACTACCTACATCGATGGGTGGCTTTCCCCTTCTATGCCTTGGGGAAATAATAGCCACTTGTCGCTCTTCTGTCGACGGTTTTCAACAACAATGTTCGGTTGGTTTTGTACACAAAAATCGGGAGCCAAGGACGATGTTCGGTATAGCCGAATGTTCAGTATAGCGGTGTTCGGTATAGCGACGTACCACTGTATTACAGTTCTCATGCACCTGTACATGTACTTCTATCTAATAGCACCAGTGTTGTAGTCGAGTCCATCACAAGTCCCTGCAAGTCCATCACAAGTCTGTACAAGTCCATCCCAAGTCCATCCCAAGTCCATCCCAAGTCCATCCCAAGTCCATCCCAAGTCCATCCCAAGTCCATCCCAAGTCCATCCCAAGTCCATCCCAAGTCCATCACAAGTCCATCACAAGTCCATCCCAAGTCCATCCCAAGTCCATCCCAAGTCCATCCCAAGTCCATCCCAAGTCCATCACAAGTCCATCCCAAGTCCATCCCAAGTCCATCCCAAGTCCATCCCAAGTCCATCCCAAGTCCATCACAAGTCCATTCCAAGTCCATCACAAGTCCATCCCAAGTCCATCCCAAGTCCATCACAAGTCCATCCCAAGTCCATCACAAGTCCGTCCCAAGTCCATCACAAGTCCATCACAAGTCCATCACAATATCACAAGTCCATCACAAGTCCATCACAAGTCCATCACAAGTCCATCACAAGTCCATCACAAGTCCAGCTCAAGTCCATCACAAGTCCATCACTAGTCCATCACAAGTCCATCACAAGTCCTTCAGTCTCAAGTCAAGTCATAAGTTATTCAAGTGAACTGTTACAAAAGCATTCCTTTGACATTGTTCATCCAGTTACATGTACTTGTGACTAGCTTAATGAAAGGACTTCTGTGAATGGACTTGTGAAAGGACTTGTGATGGACTCCACTACAAAGACTACTTAGTACATGTACATGTTAATGCTCAACAGATAATGGAGGTCCACAGTTACGTGTAAAGTACATGTATACATTACAAGATGTAAGTTATTGTAGCACAGATGTTTAAATTAAGATTTATGTTTGTGGCAGCTATGATGCAGTTGGACAATGCCTAGCACTTGTGTACTGTGCAGAGTATGTTTCTGTGCATGCACTCTTTGCATTATGCTTTAGCATGTTATTTTGGGGTAAGTTCCCATAAACCACAAATTTGTGTCTGCACTAGTAGAGAAGATTGGATATGTGTGTAGATGCGAATGTACTGTTCAACATAATTCAATTAGGGTTTTTACCCCAAGTTGGAACATTTTGTGCACATCATGTGTTACGTCAGATTACGTAACAATCTTTTGGAATGTGCTTTAGAAACAGTTTTTTATGTAAATTAGAAAACTTGACGAAACAAAGTGGCTACATGGGCTCCGTGCACAGGTACCCTCTCAACGGTAAGATACGGAGAGTTGGGGAGACCATGTGAGAGACATTTGAACACATTGCCGATGCGCCTGACGCTCACGCAAAGACACCATGGCTTTGTGCACGTTTGGATTGTCATGCGTACTTTGCGTATACGCGCGCAAACCAGTATGCGCACACGGTGTGTCCCGTCCACGTGGCTCTTGAAAGTGGTAAATACGGGCCCTCTCTTGTTGGCACACGGAGCCCATTATGTGTATATTTTCAGCAGCCACAGTAAATTTCTTGTGAAATGGAGTTAGAAGGCTCTTCAATAAAGATGTTATTTTTTTACTTACAGCTACTACTGTAGATGTTATAACAGTTACATGTAATAGAAGCTATTAATTTACATGTATTGCTCTTTTTTTCAAAATTTTAAATTTTTTCACCTTTCCGGGAAAAATGGAATATAAAATGCATAATGAACCAACTGAGCAGTGTAACTTTTGCTTTGTGACTAAATGGAAAATGTGTCATTAACTTTTTTTCTGGTTTTTGGTTTGATACAAAATGGCAATTTTGTCTAAAAATCTCAAAGATTTTCAATAAACAATGTGTGAAAAGATTGTTATTGAGTAGATCACATTTTGTTCACTTTAAACTTTGTCCATGCCCTTTTAAAAACATTGGTAAAAAAACAAAACAGCCTGCAGGTTTGTAATTGGTGCATGGGATCGGAAGCTAGCTTGAGCGCCGACTTTAATGCCAACTTTGTTCTGACCGTCTTTTCAATTTACCAGAGAATTACCTTCAAAAAGCAAAAATGAACTCCGCCAGATTGTTAAGTAATTTTCATTTTAATAACCTGTGAATATTAATGTTGGAATTACGTGAACTTAAATACCTTCGAACCTGATTCGATTCGAAATAGAAAGCAGAAACAATTTTGTGGCACAGAATCGAAACTGTACAGGCCTAGTGAGAAAGCAGCCCGGCCGTACCCTAGAGATCAATTTTTCCCCCATTTTTTTTCAAAGAATTGTGTGAAGTGAAATATCTTTCACTCGCAATTTTTTTTATGTTTTAAGGATTTCTTTAAGAAAATAATTTTTCTTCAGTCGGGATAGTTCCTTCGATGGAGAATAAAATAATGATAAAGGCCAAATATAGTGGGTCCTTATTTTGTTCCATGACCAATAATTATCTCAGGCTGCGCTGTCGCCTCTCAGATAATTGAACATTCATCTGTCGAAAAATAAAACTAAAAAAATCCTGACCCAAAACGCCACCAAACCGGAGTTTACGCTTGAACAAAATCATTTTTCCTGTGGGAATTTAGCAATACTGAAATATAGTCCACTGTTCGTTTCAAAAAGATGTATTTTGCGTAAAATTTCGTGGTCAGAAATGAGTTATTTGCGTGCCGTTGCTCTCCCTTAAGCAACCCACCACGAGGACTAAAAATAGAAACTTCGAACGACGAAAACAAAATAACAAAATAGCGGTAGAGATTGTGATAACAAAATCGAGGTTTTCTGCTCCAAATCCTCAATTAATTTGAATGAATAGCACATTGGGTTTTAGATAAAGCCTTCCTTGAATAAGGATTGGAGAAATTTTACTCCTGAAATTTGAAATTTAGATGAAATTTGACATAAATCGGTGACATTTTTTCCACGGCCTCTTGTGCTTTACTTTGTGACGTCAACTTTTTGGACGCAAGTTGACCTCTGATAGAGATTGAACACGATTCCTATTTTTCCACATTTTCCCCAACTACACCGTCAAATCTGATGATTTTTTGCCGAGTAAGGGATCGGGGAGATTTTAGATAACACATCCAGTAAAACATTTTATCAAAATGCCGTCAAAGGGTGAAATTTAGCCCCAACATTGAATGCGATTAAACCCTGATTGGGGTGAAATGATTTGTCACAACATGGCGTCGCTGCGTTTTTCCGTCCTTCCACCCAAAATTCAGACCCATGTTTCACATTAGCACCGAGACCTGTCTTAAAATCAGCTCATGCTCTTAACAAATCAAAGATACAGGTTTAATTTGGGATACAATTTATCGGTGGCAGATCTTGCGTTTTCGTGGCATAATCGCGTATTTTTGTGGCCGTGAATAAATGTTCTTCAACATTTATATTCGCTCGATTTTTCATCAAATTCGGTAGTTTTTTAATCAAAACATTATACACGACATGAAAGGTTATTTCGTCCTCTACCCGACACCAGGAATAAAAAGAGTTGGAGTAGGTTTCTTTTCCCGAAATAAACGGTTGAAAAAATGCCCACTAACACACATTTGCATTCAGCGGCCATTTTGAGCGAATTTTCGCGGACAAACCTGTTCGCCTAGCAATCATAATTGGCGACTCATACTGCGTCCGCAATAATGCGATATAAGCCGCCGTGCGGAAAATCTCTTTACATCGCCGTATTGTTGTATCGCTGAAGTTCACGTTCAAAGAAATCAAGTGTGTATCTGATCACCATGGCCGAGCAGACGACAACGCCCGCCGCCAAGCCAGCCAAGCCCGCCAAGAAGAAGGCTGCGCCCAAGAAGAAGCCAACTCACCCCTCCGCCGGGGAGATGATCCTGGCCGCCGTGGCTAACCTGAAGGACCAGCCACGATCAGGCTCCTCCTCGCAGGCCATCAAGAAGTACATCCACGCCAACTACACCCTGCCGCCCAACTACGACACCCACATCAAGCGGGGACTCAGGACCCTGGTGGCGTCGGGCAAGCTGGTGCAGACCAAGGGCAAGGGAGCCAGCGGATCCTACAAGCTGGACAGCCGTAAGACGAAGCAGTCCGCCTCCGACAAGGCAAAGAAGGATAAGGCTCGCCAGAAGGCCAAGGCGCTGAAGGAGAAGAAGAAGGAACAAAACAAGGCCAGGAAGGAGAAGGCAGCAGCCAAGAAAGCAGCCAGGAAGGCTGCCAAGAAGGCCAAGTCTCCGACCAAGAAGAAGACGGCAACCAAGAAGAAGTCGCCCAAGAAGCCAGCCAAGAAGGACAAGAAGCCTGCTGCCAAGAAGACTGCCAAGAAACCCGCAGCCAAGGCTAAGCCTAAGACGGCCAAGAAGGCAACCAAGGGGAGCAAGCCCAAGACCACGAAGAAGGGCACAAAGAAGCCAGCTACAAAGAAGGCAGCCAAGAAGTAAACTGCCCCAGCAGACCCAGCTTAACTCCAAACCCAAACGGCTCTTCTCAGAGCCACCACATTTTCAAAAAAGAGATGGAATTCATGTCTGTCAAATCAATGTTTCGTTACTTTATGTACAGTTTTTGGGTCAGTCCATTTTAAAATTGAGTACAAACTTTCCTCAGATGTCCTCTTTAAATTTGATTTAAATTTCCCCTAGGCCTACCCCTTTTATTTATTGGGGGGGGGGGGGGTTATCACAGTTACTTGCGTTATTACCATTCGTTAATCACCGGTCTTGGCAAAATACTCAATAATTCATTGGGCGGAGAGATCTACCAAAACAATTAGTTGAAAACCGGAATTTATAGAGATTCGTTTCTTGAATCGTATAATTTCAATGCATTTACAGGGGTAGCGTGACGGTTAACAAGGTAAACGTAATCAGGCAAGTGACCAACATACGCCATGCTGACACCATGCTGACACCATGCTGGGACCGTTTTGATGATGACTAATAATAAGTGCAGGATGACAGGTGTATTTGCAGACCAGACGTCAGACGCCCGTTTTCAAGTACATGAATGTATAATTATTGTACATGAACAAAGTACATTTACACGCGGGAAAAACGTTTTGATTTTTTTTACGTTGTTGTACATGTACATTGTGTACATCACATTATGTCAGCACTTCATGGTTTGCCAAATACATACATAGCTCCTTGGATGTGGTCACTGATCTCAGTACGTACATGTACATTACACTTGTCACTGCTTGCTGGTTATGTTTACGTTAGGCGCCCTCTCTACTCCTCTAGACATTCCGTGAAATTGGTAGACTTGCTGCGCTTCAGCATCGAAGGACCTCTTTTTTGTGTAAAAGTTCAAGCGCATTTTTACATACAATGTATAGGCCTATAGTATTCCCCTGGTTTTTGAACTAAGACCTTAAGTGCACAATGTTTCAGTCGTTTTATAAGTAAAAAAAATGTGATGTCCATCCATGGAGGTAGTCCATCCAACAACATCACCTCATTAACATATAACTGGGCAGCACTGAGCTTATCAACCACAATCAGTGTGCACAGCTGCAGCTGTGGTGTTTTCCTATTTAATCCTCATTGTTGACAACAATGGACTTGTGCCGTATATTGTTGTGGGGATAAATCAGAAAACGAGTGCTGTACAGCGGGATTAGCCCTCTGACAGCTTGGCTGCTACTGCTAGTTAGGGATTTATCTGCAAGTGCCGAATTTGCTTGCAATATATAGGGCCTACAGGGGTTTACCTACAACCCACGTTTTGAGTGACAGGAAGAAAATCCTGCCCCTTCCTTGGAGAATGAATAAGAACTTGAAGAAGCAAAGAAATAAGAACATGTAGGAACAATGCGATCTCCATGAAATAAGAAGACTCGCATATGTACTGTGCATGGGCCTCTAGCAAGCGAACTGGGTGCTCAAATGATACCTTGGCAACTTACATGGTTGATACCAATCTGTAGTTTGCAGGAGCATGGTCTCACTTTTATTCCAATATGGCGATTTAGAAACGGTCATGGCAACTTCCTTGGCTGTTTTTAGTTGGAAAAAAACAATACAATTTCTAGCATGACAAAATGGGTAAGGCAAGTTCAATTAATTTTTTTTTTTTTACCAGCAGGGAACTTCTGTCAAACACAGGTAGAACCACTTGCATTCTTTTTAACAGTGAAAACAAGTATTTTTGTTAAGACCTGGGGCAAATGTTATTGAATACATGTGGTGAAACTTTGAAATTAGCAATTGAAAGCACCGAAAAAAATCTTTCAGCAAAAACATGTTACTAGGCAAAACGGCATGCAATGTACATGTATACATGTACATGAATCTGGGCACAGGTCACCGCACTCACGAGGCCCCCTTCAATGGAGAAACCACTGCACTTTCTATTGTACAAAGCAACTCCCTTATGATGGATTATCTGAACAATAGCTAGCACAATGCATTCTCCATTGAAGGGGGCCATCGTGATAGAAGTTCTAGAAGTTGGCCCATAAGCAATTCTTACTTAAAGTGGTGAAAACGAGAATGTGAAATCTGGTAAATATGAAGAGAGAAAACAGACACAATTTATTGCAAACATTTGAATTTTATTCATCATCATTTCGCTTCAAATTTTCGTACTTCTATTTATTGGAAGAAAAAATACAAAAAAAAAATCTTTAAAGTTGGTTTCTCACATAGTTCCTACAAAAAAAATGAAAAGAGAAATGCCCAACTTTAACTCAACCTGTGTTAAATGCGAAGTACAAACAGATTTATCAAAGTACATGTACAGCAAAAAAAACCAAAACAAAAAACAACAACAAATATAATGTACAAAATAATACATAAGAAACGAATCGCCCACTGAGACTCACAAAACTGGTGGTTGATTTTAACGCCTTTGGGACAAAATCGGTTGTGGGAATATAATTGGCAGAAGTTTATTGTTTATTTTCTTTCAAATCATATAATTATTATACTTTTTTGACTGAGCAATAGTCATCAAGTCTTTTCCTGCCTAATAGACAAAAATGAAATATGAGCAAGTCGGGGTGAAGATTGATTGAAAATGGAAAATCCATTAAAGAAGCGACAGGTTTGAAGGTTCCAAAAGCAATGTAGGGTCTTTGGTATACCTTTGTATTTGCCTACATGGCACCCCTTGCAATACCCATTTCTTTAGTTCTATCTCAACTGTCATAGTAGGCCATCAGCCTGGGGCGTTTGGTTGGTATCAAATGAGAGGAATAATGCTCATTGTGATTTTTTTGGCATGGTATTCACCCCTACATGTACAAAATGTAGTTGGAAAATATGTGAAAGCATCCAAAAAGCTGCCACTGCTGCAATGCTATCACTTTAAAAAAAAATTACAGCCAAAATATGCTTGTTACCACATATAATTAATCTGGTAACAAGCATATTGGCGGTCATTTTGAACAAAAAAATTAAAAGTTATGGCACCCAAAAAATTGCCACCCCTCACACTGCAAAGCTATCACACATTTTCCAACTGTAGATGTGCACACCTTGCCAAAAATCGCCAGTAACATTGCTCCTTTTGATCACTTGATACCTGTGGCCCAATTTTTGATCCGAAGCTATAGGTAGAAACACCTTTAAGGCAACACCTCAGGAATTCCTGATTTCAAAAAGGGATACTAAAAAAATATCAGAAATCAGGTAAAATCCTGACAAATCTCACACCTCAATATTCGATTTTGACCTTCACTGACGTATTTTATGTTGGTTGGAGTCCCATCCAATTGATTTTTTCCCTCACAATCACTAGGGACAACACCGAGTATACAGTGTTTATAAAATACGTCGTTGAAGGTCAAAACCATATATTGAGTTCACATCACCCCGACGCAAACATTCCATCTGATGGATAAATCTCACACCTGGCAAGTACAATACAGAAACAAATCTGAGAAAGTGGGTCGAGTCGTCCGAGTTCATACATTTGGGCCCCGAAATGTAAGAATTTGAATATCTGGTGAAAAAAAAAAGGTATGCAGAAACTGCCTGAATTTGCATAATTACTCAAATTTGAGTCAGAGTCCTTTGGCTGCAAATAGTTTGCACATTTCTTGGATAACTGTGTCAACTTTGTGTCCGAACACTCATATTCCTACTCATTTGTACTCCGTAAAGCCTTGATTCTTGCTATAGACTCTCTGCACAAGCACGCCCTCAACGGTTACAAAGAGAGAGTTTGGGAAGAGGACATTCAAACGCATTGCTGATGGCGTCTGGCTCTCATGCAAAGACACCTTTGCACTGTGCGCATTGGGAATAAAAGTAATCGTGCGTACTTTGCGCCATACACTCCCGATCCAGTACAGGCATGCGGCTTCGTCCTCAACTTGAGCCCTCGAATGTGGTCAAAAAGGCCCTCTAATGATCGTGTGCGGAGTCCACACAACCTATGATTTCAGTATAATTGGGGATTCAGAAAAGAATCGATAACAACAGTGCTGTGCAAAGAAAAAGAAATTCCGTGGACAGGAGAAAACTGTGAGATTCAGGTTGCAGAAAATCTCAATTTTTTTCTGCCTCTGCATAGCAACATTTGCGTCCAGGAAAATCAGTAGCGAAAGTTTAATATTGCCTATCAAAAGTCCCACAGAAGCAGTACAGCTGTATGTGAATTGCAGTTTATTACAAAGAAAAGATAGGTTCATAAACATGTGCTGTGCCTAAAAACACAGCCCCCCCCCCCAAAAAAAAAAGAAACAGGAAATAAGGCTAAGACACAAGCAGCTATATCAAACCAAACAGAGCCGTGTCCGAATCCCTTGACTGGAAACAACATGTCACCTATGGAAGCCACTGGGTAGCAGCTGCAGCCACTTTCCATATAGACTTGTGTGTGATTGCCGGCCGTAGCCCTGTGATTCGGACACGGCTTAGCCCAAGAAACTGGAGAAACAAGTTACACTTAAGACTCCTTTCAAGACAGCAGTGATGAACAATTTAAGGCACATTTTTTTTTAAGACATGTTAGGTACAACTTCCAGAACCTGAGATGCAATTCTTATGGGGAATATTTTTCTAAAGATTTTTTGTTCAATGGAAAATCATATGATATTTGACTGAGTTCTTACTTTGACTGAGTTCTTACTTTGCAGAACAGTCTTGATAGGAAAAGAGTTCAAACATGTACATTGTACATGTAACTGATTTGAGTGACGTATCTTTTGCGGCCGAACGCACAACGAAACATTTCTGAAGGTTTGGAGAAGGGCATATCACATAGATGTACATCACCTTAGTGGCTGGTATGAATGTAAGTGGAGACAAAAGAAATTGTTTTTTAAAGCTACAGTCCATCATTTGCAGCTATCCAAAAAGTAACTGACGTAATTATTGTCGAAAAACATACTTGGTTGAAAGATAGTAAGAAAACTAAACTCCCTGTGAAATTATTCTTTCTGGCATGCTGTCATTTTGAAGATTTGAAGAAATCAACAAAAGAAGGCCTTTCCAACGATAAGCGCGCACAAGCGTTGACACGACGCACACACGCATGCGGTTGCTATAATTCGTCGGTTCAGTGCGCGACATCGCATTGCTGCAATCGACTCGGTGAGAATGTGTCTCGGACGCTGAATTCAGGCCCAATTCAAAACATGATTCAGCAACTTTTGATTGGAAAACGAGATCCTAGAATGTTAGTTTTCTCGGAATATACAGCTGAAGCTGAGCTGAAACTTCATCAGGTTAGTTGTTCAGCTCAGCTTCTTTAGATTCTGAGCACGTTTGTTGCTTCAAACGAACAAAATGCACAAATTACAAATGATGGACTGTATCTTAAGTGTATTTTGCCCACTACTGTCGCCACTGACAAATGGATATATAAAAACACGTGTTTCCTGAGGTCTCTTTTGGTTGGATTAACAAGAGTATAAAAACGACCAGGCTGTTTCTTCACGCAACTGAGCTTCCTATCCATTGACAATGTGCATTTCAGTCCCTTGGCATTCTTCAGTAACATCCTCTTTCTGAGCAGATGGGATTACCATGTCAGACAGGATTCCCAAAAACATCCTCAAGTACCTCAACATCCGCTTCTTACTTGGTTGCCATGGCTACCTCTGACATCCAACCGGTACTCTCAATAATAGAAGAAAAAACTTTTCCTTGGATATAGCTGCATCTCTTGTTCCCTGTGAGTTCTCAACTGTCTCCAAGCAACCTCCTTAGTTACAAGGCATCCACCGCATCTTCCTTAGCAATTGTCTCCATCACTTCTCCTCTCTTCAGCTCTGGCTCACATCCTCCATGGTGTCCTCCAATCTCTCATTAGAATCCTCCTCCTCCTCTCGTTTGGTTACCGGCCCCGCATCATCTTTAGCTTCCTCCTTGACGACCGTGGTCGTCATGGTCGCTGTGGCTGCCATGGCCACTGCCTCCCTCTGCTCCTTGGCGATGGTCTCCTTGAGACGGTCCAGCTGCAGCATGGTGCGGACGATGACGGACTGCGAGATGAGGCTGAAGTCGTACATGTTGATGACGTGAAGGAGGAAGTTCCGGTACAGGTTGCTCCCGAGCAGCTCCCGGCCGCGCTTCTCGATGAAAAGCTGGCAGGCAAGCGGGATATGGCTATCTGCGATGAAACTACGAGGAAAACATACATGTAGAAACTTATTTTAGACTAACAGCTTCACTTCTTGAGTGCACAATAAACTGCCTAACGTATCTCGGTAGAATCGAGTCAACGCAGCTTGTGAAATATTGTCCAATTACATGATATACAAATGGACGCAGAACGCAAAAAAATCTACGACAAACAAAATGGACCTTAATTACCTGCAGACGTAGCGCATGCGCACTGCATGTAGTTTCCCCCATTTTTCGGGGGGAAATTTTATGAAATTCTTTAGAAGTTGTTCCTGACGGGTTCGTGGGCGATTTTGGTTGGTCGTGATAACGCCCTCTCGCGGCGGCGGGTTATCGCGGTGGCGGGTTATCGCGTATCAAACCATAACAACGCCCAGCCCCTAGACTAAGACTATTGTTGTTGTTACCCAAAGCTTCAATACTGAAAACATGTCAGTGAAGTATGCAAATGCTTCATGGACTACACGCTGACATCTTGGCAACTTACTTGTGTTCCATACAGTGTAGGTTCCATAGCTTCATCAGTTCTTTCTCCCCTTCATTCACGTCAGTAAATTCATCAATCATCTGTCGATGAGAAGTATCATCCAAAAGACATATTAAAAGTCAGCAAGAGCGTAGAAAGTTATCAATGTGAATTACAACTGAAGTTATGGTAGTTTTCAATTTTTAAGTTTTCAGTGATTTTTACATTACAGGTACAGTCCATCATTTGCAGCTATCTAAAAAGTAACTGACGTAATTGTTGAAAAGCATACTTGATATGAAATTATTCTTTTCCGGCAAGCTGTAATTTTGAAGAAATCAATGAAAGAAGGCCTTTCCAACGATGCGTCTAAAGACGCATCGTCTTAAGTTTCAGTTAGTAGTTCGTTTTTTTATTCTGCGAAGCGCGGACAAGCATTGACATGACGCACACGCGTGCGCGGTTGCTATAATTTGTTGGTTCAGTGCGCCACATCGCGTAGCTGTAATCAGTGAGAACGTGTCTCGGACGCTGAATTCAGGCCCAATTCAAAACATGACTCAGCAACTTTTGATTTGAAATCGAGATCCTAGAATATTGTTTTCTCAGAATATACAGCATTCACTGAGCTGAGACTTCACCAGGTTAGTTGTTCAGCACCCTTCTTTGAGCACTTTTGTTGCTTCAAACAAACATAATGCACAAATTACAAATGATGGACGCTACCTTTAACTTCTAATACAATATTCCTCTGGCATTCTGGGACTTGCTTACTACAGATGAAGACCCTGTTTGGTCTCGCACAGCAATGAGCATACCATGCTCATGTTAGAGATGAAACTGGCTATGAGGATTTGTGATGCACTCGACTACAACACTGAAATCACCTCACAAAACAAGAAAAGATATCACGATTGAAAGACGCAGTGACTGACCATGCTTGTTCTCTGCTGCAGCCACAGCGGGTCAATCTCATCCTCGCTGTCCAAGTCCATCTCCTGAGGTCTAACTGGTTGCAGCGAATGGGTGTGGAAGTACATTCTGTCCAATGGGAGAAGAGATACAATAGAAATAGGGCTCGTTCAATGATGGCCATTTCTGCAGGAGAAGTGCAACTGCGTATTTTACGCAATCTAGCACGCTTTGCGCAGTGTTGAAAAAGTTTGAAATACGCGCGCTTGTTGCTCGAAATGTGTTCGAAATACGACGCAGCCGATGCGCGTTATGCAAGTTGACGCTCAAAATGCCGATGCACGTGGATGGTCTGTAGGAAATGACGTCATTTGAACGAGACCTATTCTGACTTACGAGAGAGGCACAATACAGGTCCAAGAGGCACCCCCCAAAAAAAAAGCTACAAAGATGAGTTCTATTCCCCTCAAAGGTACCAATTTACTGCTTGGTGGGGAGAAGCAATGAGTGCAAAGTGTCTTGCCCAAGGACACAACGACCCATCCCCACGGGTTGAACTCGAACCCCGTACTGTTCAGAATAACCCAAATGCTCACAACAAACCCACAGCACTCTACTCCGATTTCTTTTCATTCATAAAGTTCTGAAAAAAAAAACTGTCAGAAATAAGACGGTTTTTTTTGGTACCTATTGTGTCCTGAGATTTGTGGTCTAGTGATGAGGTAGTCTTTGTTCTCTCCTTCCTGGAATTCAGACAGCGTTCCCAGAGGCCGCTTGGTATGTCTGCCGTGGAAAAATGTGAAAAAAGAAACAAATTGAAACAACAATATTAAGATTTACCGTCAACGAGATTTTGTCACTGTATATGAAAACACTGACGAAATGATTGCACATTTGGGTCAGATGAATGACAAAAAAAAATAAGACATATAATTTTCTTGAACAATTCTTAAAGAGGTTGTGGAATGCTCGAAGACATTTCCATCATTTTTTGGGTATATGTAGCCTAAGGTGTGATGAAATAAAAACAACTATTGTTTCTGTCATGAAATGAGTACAAAGGTTACTTTTGAGAGCTATTTTTCAGGTCCTGTTTCGACCCGAACGTGCAATTTGTGTAAAAGTCGTCGTTGCGGGCAGCAAACAAAACACAGTAAATCGTGACGTAATAAACAGGACTCGTTTATGCTACTCTGCATCGAGAGTCCTGTTTATTACGTCACGATTTACTGTGTTTTGTTTGCTGCCCGCAACGACGACCTTTACACAAATTGCTCGTTCGGGTCGAAACAGGCATGACAGGACTTGAAAAACAGCTCTCAAAAGTACCTTTTGTACTCATTTTATGACAGAAACAATATTTGTTTTTATTTCATCATACCTTAGGCTACATATACCCGAAAAATGACGGAAATGTCTTCGAGCATTCCACAACCTCTTTAACTTACTTGACGACAAGGATCTGAGTGACAGGACTACGCCTGCAGGGACCGTTCCTATGGAATGCATAGCCAGTGTGAGATGTCAGGTTCTGTGGATTACCGGCATACGAACCGTCATAGTGCTCGTTGATCGTCACGTCTACTCTAGCTCCGTTTGGACAAGGCTGTAAGAAACAAAAGGAAACATTTAGTCTACTTCCTTCCCCTCAGCGATTCATTAGCGGGAACTTTGGAAAGAAATGAGTGACAAGAAAAATGAAAAGAATATTCAAACAAACATGCGTCTGATGATTACTGGTTTGCTGCATGTATGTAAAAAAATTCCACTCAATTTTTAAAATTCTTTGAAATTAATTTTATCAAGCCTCATTGTTCTTTACGAGCTTGTTTGAGGGTAGGTCAATCTTCTAAAATTTCACTCAGTCCTGAAATGGTTTGGACACCCTGTGCATTATGTCAAAACATTCACTTCACAATTTAACAGCCAACAAAGTAAATTATGTTAGTTCCAATTCTACTCATTCCTAAAAATGAAGTACTAGTCTAATTTCTTGAAAGGGCGACCACCAGTTTCTCATCTAGCGACCCGTCCACCCGTCTTTTGTACGGGCAGTTTGTGATTTTGGACGGGCACTTTGCAAAATGGACAATAGAACATGACGGGTAGAATTTTGGCAAAATGGACATTTAAAATGACGGGTGGGTTTTGTTTGGAAAAAATATATAAAGACAAAGCGAATAAGCTGTATTTTTGTTTAGAAAAAAAAACACAAAAATACCCAAAATACCTCTTAATCTACGCGAACAATTGGCCACCAGTCAGCCACTTGCTTTGTGTAGCATTTATAGCGCCATACAATAAACACACGCACATGACGGACGTTTGCACTGCATGCACACGTTCACGATGTCTCCAATTTGCCTGGGATGGTGCCCGTAACCGTTTTACGCATTTGTGCTCGGCACCACGGACACCAGTGTATAATGGGCGCCCTCTGTCGATTTGCTTGCGCGATAGCCCGATCGCGCAGTAAAACATGTCTTTTTTTTTGTTGCAAAAGTGAATGTGTTGCATGGTGAGCGATCTATCTATCTTTTGCGCAGCTAGCTATCGGTGGATCGCGCAAATAATATTACACAGAATGCGCCCAGGACATGTTCGTACATCCATCATCGGATCGCACGAGAATGAAGCGCCGACAGTCCTGCTTTGGTAAAAAATGACGTCATTGACAAAGCCTTGTTAGTAACGTGTAGTTCGTGCATTTCTGTCCAACAACGCTCGATGCCATGAACGACGGGTACTTTTGAAAGTGCACCACAGCATGACAGGCATTTTTGGAAATCCTGGATGAAACCCTGGCGACCACTGTAGTCTTGAATGAGTATCCTCTTTTTTCTCTTCACTCTTAATCAAGACTCCATGGGCCTAAACAAATGTTCCCAAATGTGCCCTAAACCAGAACTCACCACGTAGGTGAAGTTGAATCGACTGTGGCACATGGTGAGGTGCTTGAGCAGGCTGTACAGCTGCCAGCAGTTGACCGAGCACCAGGGGCACATCATGTTGTCCCTGGCCTCCGTCTGCTGCCGCGTGTTGTTGTTGTACAGGAACTGGTAGAAGACATGTTGAGGGGTGTTGAAGTCGCCGCTGTTGGTGGCAGAGGTGGGATCCCGCTTGGAGGCATTGATTCGGACCGGGGACCTGTGAGTGGCGGTTGCGGTAGTGGTGTCATCATTGGCTGAGCCTGATTCACTGCCAGCATCTGAAGGGGTGAGAAACAATGATGGAATGAGTGGTTTGACTAAAAGAAACGGGAAATGGGAAGGTCAAAATAAACATACAAATTTAAGAATGATCTTCAAAGGAAAATTTTTGCTCAAGATGTCGACTTGTGAAAAACGAGTCCGTTACCTCTTAATATAACATGATTAGAATGCGGCTTAATTTGGTTGTGCGCAGGAATGGTTGGTGGCACCGTGCAGCCTAGAGCAAGTTCAAGGGAGGACCATTAGTTGACTAGTGGCTGTTTCATGACATAACTTTACGCCTGTGCACTAATAGAAATGTGCGAACGCCACGTATCAAAGGGTTACCAAAACGTCATCACAAAAAGTTCTAGATCCTGGCTCCCTGATGTGCATTACGATACGCGCAGCTATTGATAACTGGCAAAGGAACCAGGCTCCATGTCCGAATAGTTCACTAGGGTAGTCCAAGCATCCTGTGTTCCTGTGAAGTTATTCAAACTATGGTTAACAATAGTCCCCACCAAACTTACTCATAGTCACACACTCTTGAATTACTATACTCCCGAGGACAATGTTTTGTGTTTCCCTTTGTCCCTTTAATATAACACTCATCCATAGACTAAGCGCACGAACCTACTACAGAGGACCGTTTTGAACAAAAGACCCAACACCCGAGGACTGAAAAGATCCTTTCTTCTCCCTTTGTGTGTCTGTCCTAGGGGGTTAAGTAGAACACGCACACAAATTCCAGTAAGCAAGCAAACGACACACTTTGTGTTTGTGTGTGCATTGGTTGAAGTGTTTATGGCATAGTACACACAAAGGATTCTCATCACAACCGATGCAGTTTGAGCTCAGTGAATGCTGTATATTCCAAGAAAACAATAGTCTACATATTTTGACCGATATCAACCAAACTTTGTCAAAAGTATCAGCAGCCCAGCCCCAATAGGTCACATGACCAAACTGGGGTCAAAGGTCATCATGGGGTCACTGGGGTCAAAAACCTGATTTTTTTAAAACTCAAAATACTACTCCTTCCAGAAATTACAGGGCACAATCACGTGACTCATGCATGAACAAGTATTCGTTGGACCGCGGCTTCTGAGATATTTCCGTTCGAGCTTTTGTTTTGTGCAGTGGATCTCTGTGCGCGTTACTTTGTCTTATCCCTTAACTTGAAACTGACCTGCAGGGTTTTAAAGGGTTTTACATATTGCTCTGAGTATTGACTCTCCACTAGGAGGGATGAAGGTCACTTCATTAGAAGTTGACAAACCATGACTTGTAGAAAACTCCTCTCACCTTCTCTGAGTGCAACGCCGTTACTGCTGCCTGCAGGCTGGGTGGGAAGACCGTTGGAATGACTACTCAAGCTCCCTAGGCTTGGTAGCGATGCAGCTCGATGGTTACTGGATGATGACGGGAGGTGACTGGACGACCGCAGGGCCGTCTCGCTCCACTTGAGATGGAACTTCAAAGTGGGCTGGTCTTGGAAAGACTCAAAGGGGGCCACAGGCTGTAGGTAGGAAGATAATTTATATTGTGGGTTTTTTATGTTTGTCTGTGGGTCTTTTATACTTAGTTTGTTTACCTTCGGGTACCTTTATCGATGCTCTCTTTAATTAGCCTGTTTTATTGTTTTATCAATAACACACAAAGAAGTCGCGATGAGAATTTGTTTTTTTATTTTTACATATATGCACATGTTTAGTAAACTGTTGTTAAGTCAAATCTCAAGGGAACGGATAAAACATTTGAGGTATCCGGAGTTTGAATTAAGCCAAGGTTCCCGATATCTCTACAGTCATGGCATCTACTCTACATATATTATTCCACTGTAAATCGCTATGCCCAGACACGCTATTTTGTACACTTTCATTGTAAGGCCCCCCCCAAAAATACTCGGTCTCTGGTCAGCGCGCGCGTCGATTTTAATCATGCGCGTCAACCTTTTTTCTTTTTTTTCAAATTAACACGGAAGCTACAACAGCAAATTTTTGTACCAAGGAGCACCAAGGAATGGGGAAATTGCACCAAGGCAAATGATAAAGGGCACCAAGGCAAATTATGGAGGACACCAATGTATAATGAGGACACAAAAAAGGACTGGACACAAAATGCTGGACACAAAATAGTACCCACCTTGAAAAAAAAAAAAGCCACCAAAAAAACCAAAAAAAAACCGCGTCGCCGCATCAATTCCGGAACTTCGGTCTGACCTTTGATGTAAGTTAAAAATCATCATTTTACTCAGATTTCATATTGCTCTTGCATAAAAAGAGTCTGCTGTATAGATAAACATAAAAATAAACCAGACACGCGCATCTACAAAGGTTTCCAATGCTGTCACATGGCCACCACAAAGGGCCGGCAATTGGACTGCCGGCATGCGGCTTACAATTAGGCCAGCGGCAGCGATCAGGCTAACTCGAAAGCCCGGATTTGTTGCCGTTACAGGTTGGAGTCCGATAATACAATGGCATCATGTATGCTGCATCCCAACGTGAAAAGACGAAAATCGTTGGGCAGCCATGACTCGTGGAAAAGTTCTGCGATCTTTTTGCGTTTCTTTGTGACTGTTAGGCAGCGGTTTCTTATGGACTGTTCGAACAAAAGTTTGAGATAAACAGAGGTCCCGGTGCAGGTACTTCGAGTTACGGAGGTGTTCATGTACATAATGTTGTATTCTCTTGACGGGAATGGAGTATTAATTCGAGGTAAAAGGAGTTTCGAGTTAGCCAAATTTGACTTGTCGCAATTTTTACTGCATGTTATCAAATTACAATAAGACTCACTGTGTTAGGGAAACTGCAAGCAGGCAGCACGGACAGAACTGAAAAGGCATTGCTTGCAGCACAATTTTTACCTTTTAACAATTTTCCACAATACATGTACATTGTAGTGCATTGTATTGAAGTTGTTTCTGTCACCTTTTTAATGGGAAAATACAACATTTGCAAACATCAAAAAACAAAATGATCAAATTATCACGAAATACCTTACTGGATTGTTAGGGACTGACAGTCTAAAGCATCCTGTAAAATCGTGGCTCCTGGTGTGCTGACATTTTCAAGAAAAACTGTATTTTCCAACGCTGGTCGGCTGCGTTGGAGAAAACTTGATTTTTTTTTCAAACAGTGCTCCTAATTGTTCATATTTAGTTATTCTGCCTTTTCTTTGCAATTGATTGCACACCTGTGAAGGGGTATAAGCCTGCTGGACTGATTCTCAGACCTTACAATTCCCCGAAGTGTATTAATTGCTCCATTTCATCTTAAATGGGGTCGGGAAACCAGACGACAAGAACATGATAGGTTTTCTTGGTTTTCCAGCATCTACAAGCCCAAAACGTGAAACAAGTCAGTTTAACAATTTTTTTCTGTAACATACTAATCCTCCAAATCCATTTATTTCTGAAAATTGCAGCAAAAGCAAATGTTGTACATTCCCTTTAACAGGATTTTGCACACATCTGGCCAAATTTAAGTGGAAAATTCCATACCGTGAAGGTCGGTATTTTGATACTTGGACAACAGAGTTCGGTACTGGTCGATATCAAAAATGTTTTCACTAATTCAGAAAGATTCCTAAAAAAAAAAAAAGTTTTATCATACTTTCCCATCCATCAGCGTTTCCCATGATGCATGCTTGCCGTTGGCGGTGATCTTTGGCCTGACCTCCTGCATAGCGACCTCGTAGTCTCCGTTGGTGAGCAGGCAGTTGTCTCGGTCTAGCACCAGGAGTTCCGAGGTGTAGGTGAACGTGTCGCTGTGTCCAGGCGAGTGATCTCGGCGCATGAGTCGACGCCGTTTGGTGGGCTGCTCATCTGAGAAATACAGTTTTAGTAATTATAATCAGCAAATAAAATACAGTTTGAGTAATGATTATCAGCAAATTATTTGAAAATATCTTACTTCTGACAAGCCGTCTATGAACAACACTGACATCTGAAGAAAAAAACTAATATGTCGGGTTTCTGTAGAATGTGGGATCATGGCGGATTCAGGGTGATTCTTAAGAAACATACATAGGCCATCAGCCTCGGTCCTAAATTTTGGCCACCGGCATCAAATGAGGAGAATAATCGTCACAGCGATTTTTGGCAAGGTATACACCTCCAGAGTCGGAAAATATGTGATAGCATTGCAGCGGTGGCAGCTTTTTGGGTGTTATCACACTTTGTTTCAAAATGTCCATCAAAATGCTTGTTACCACTCTAGGGGCGGTATGCCTTGCGCATGCGCACTATAATCATTTATGCCCTGATTTGATACTGACCAGGCTGATGGCCTAACAGAAGGTGTAAACGCAAACATATTAAGATTCCAACAAAGCCAAAAAAATATATACTTCTGCTTCCGGTTTCCCTACCTACCCTATTCTGAAAGCCCCTACCCTAATTTTTTTATTGGAAAAAAAGAAAAAAAGAAAAGAAAAAAAAACACTCAAAACCATCAATTTCTACCTATTACCCTTGACTACACGCAGCCGCCTCCATATGAAGCAAAAAAAAATTGGCAAAAAAAGAAAAAATCCCCCACCTACCTACCCTATTTTCAAATGCCATGTAATCGGAAGCAGAACTATTTTTTTTTTAAATAGTTACTTATTCATTATAACAGTTGGCAGCTATGCTATGGAATTGATGTAAGTGACTGGTATCCATTTAACACTGGTGCCCGGACAGGAAAAAAAATCCCTAAAAAAAAAAAACCAAAATAAAAAAATACTACCTTGATCTTCACTGACATCTCCGTTGCATAGATTATCGCCGCTGGACCATTCCCGGCCGAGCGACCTTTCACCTTGGACCTTGAGCAGCAATATGAAGGACTTGACGGTTTGACCGTTGGACGAGCTGAAAGTACTGCTGGGGACAGAGAGGCATGGTGATTGGTCGGGGCTCGTCGCCGTGGAAACGCTGTTGACGGGCACCTTTTGCTTGCCGAGCGAGATCTGCTTGACTGGTGATGCTACATCCTTAAATTTGAATAATAAAAATAAGAGATTTTTGTTTAAGTTGCATAATTTTGTTTTGTTAATATTGGGGATTTGGTGAAAAACAAAACAAAAGAAAAGCAAATATTTAAGAACAGAAATTTTAAAAGTGCAAATATAAAATGATAAAACCAACTTTAAAAGACTCAAAAGACGTTAACAAAATGCCATTTTCACACTAGAGCCCCTCAACCCTGGGTGAACCCAGTGCCGCCCCGGGTTGAGTTTTTTTTAATTTTTCAACCCCGCGTTCAACCCCGCATCGTTTCACGCTTGTTTCATGCAAATCAAGCTTATCATGCTCAGTTTCTACTGTTTTGAACCCTGGCAAGAATTTCAATCCGGGTTGAAAATCTTAACCCTGATCTGGGGCAGGGTTGAGTTCAAGGCACTTAAGCAAGGCACTTAACCATTATTGCTTCGTCCTTTGGATGGGACATAAAGCCGTTGGTCCCATGTGTTGTGTAATGCAATGCACGTAAAAGAACCCAGTGACACTTATCGGTAAGGGGGGGGGGGGGGCTGTGTTTTCAACGTATTGGTGTGTGCATACATATTTTGGGGGGCTGGTTCTGGTAATTGATACATTTGTTGTTATGTGTTGTCTTGTTTTCAAAGCAGGAACCACCTACACTAATTAGTCATACATGTATTCCAAAGTGCAATTTCGGGTATTGTTTTTATTAGGCCAAAAAAAAAAGTCTCCGGTTTCTGGTATGGAGCTTGCCCCAAAAGTGGTGCGGCGACGCGGCTTTTTTTTTTTTCTTACCTGGGTTTTTTTTTTTTTGCTTCAAATGTCGGCTAATGACTGCAAATGGTGCCCGACTAAACTTAGTGCAAATATATGGGAGTCCAGAGAGGCCACATAAAGCTTATTCTTGATCATAACCCCATCTAAAAACATGTTAAAATTGTGCAGCAGCAGGATTCCAGTCAAACCAGTGAGTTTGGCGGTTTTGAGACATCATCTTGTATTGAAAAAAAAACCACTTTTTCAGTTTGCCGACGCGCATGGCTACGGCGACGCGCGCGCATACCAGAAACCGGAGACTTTTTTTTTTGGCCTTAACTTGTATTTTAGCAACCATTCACTTTTCTAAGGGGGGGGGGGGTGTTTCTTTTAGATATATATTTCTGTGTCGAGTTTTGATATTGTGTAGCGTTGTTTGCTCTGTATTTTTCTTAATATATTTTATTGTAAGTAACTTGTGGTGTCTTGTGTATGTGTATAACATGTTTATTTTTATGAGGAAGTATTTCAATTTTATTATGGAATTTTACCCTGTCTTTTAATGTTTATATGTTGTTTTTTATTGTAAAAATTGATGCAATTTAGCCATTGGCTACAAGTTCAATTTCAATAAACCAACAATAATAATAATAAGAGAAGGGGCTTGCTCTGGTGTTTCTGGCATCCTGTTTAACTCCCCTGCGGAATATGTAGGAGAAGAACAAACCAAGTACCAAGTATAGGTGCACATGTTATTTCCTGCCGCAGCCACAACTTTCAGACGCGGCCGTTTGCCTTGCCTATCCTTATTTGATGGCCCCGATTCCCCTGACAGTGGACCAGTGTTGATTTCAACAAGGGTAGGCATGACGACAGTGTGTGAAAAGGCTCTCAGCAATGGGTAATGTGCATTAACCCTAAACTCCCTTGCATGATTTGCTAGGAACCATTACCATCCTGGCAAATTCCAACACCATCTGGGAAACGGCACACACATACTTCTGACTTTGATTCTGGAGGCGTGCCAACCCAATGTACACGACTGTCAGTTTATGGGTACTGTACCCATACTGACAGATTCCAACAAAACATGCCGTTGGGGTTTGATGGGTTGAGTTTTTAGGGTTAAGGAAAAGCAAATCGTGACTCACCTTTCTTCGTTTGTGACAAACTTTAAGTACGACAGCCTCAACAGTTACAGTACTTTCACTGGTCAATTCTGCAGGAAAATGGTAAAGGATTTAGTACGGTTGTTTTGTTAAGAGCAAATCAGTTTCACACAGCAGTGTTCCCTGTGGACAAACGTACTGAATATCACTGAAACAGAAAAATCAACCTGTTAGTTCATGCATCAAAGAACAACAGTCAAAGCGTTTTACGCTGGCGGTCAAAGCTGGGCAAAGAAAAGTAGAATTGGTAAGTAAAGATCAACATTCATTTGTGCCATAGATGGAACAGTTTTCTAGAACAAACTATTTGTGAGGCGTTTTTGGCAAAATGTGACAGAACTAGGCTGAGGTCGTAATGAGGGTTCGCGGGCATTAGGAAAGAGAATAAAAAATACTCCTTACAATACTGTTTGTTGCAGTTCAATCGGACATTCCGTAGACAAGTTATGGTTGTATAAAGTTCGCATTTATCGACACATCAAAAAGCAAAATAATGAGAAAAAGGCCTTTACAGTTTTAAATTTTCTATTCGTGAATATAACAGATTCCAATCATTTCTTCTATAAAAGACTTGTATTCCTAGATTTTTATACCATTTCTTTTAAAACGTGTGTAGTGGACATTTCAAAGACTACAAATATCAATAAATCTGAAAATCGAAAAAATATCGCCCCTGTTCGGTTGTTTTTTTTCATTTTTCTCCACTACGGCCTGTGCCCAGTTCCGTCTCATTTTGTCAGGTTATTGCTTTTAGTCTTTATTCTTCAACACATTAACACCATTTTCCAGACTTGTATGACTCGTGACTCGGACTCGGACTCGAGTCCGACTCGAGTCACATTTTTAATGACTCGGGACTCGGACTCGAGTCACTTTGACTTACGACTCGGACTCAGACCTACGGACTCGGACTGACTTGTGACTCGACGGAAATTACCGCACTGCACACGCGCACATACGTAAATCGATCGTTTTCTTTACTGTGCAATACATGTACAGGGCGCTCGATGCGGTGCGTGCGTGGCCGGTTACCGATATATTGATTAAAGAAATCAATGTACCGAAACTTGTACCCCGCCGTCCGCACGTAACACTGCATTGGTGCAAGATTGATAGGGTAAGGTACCAGACTTTTCTTGTCACACGTCCTGTTGTTCATACGTGTATTGCTGTCGCATCGCGATAACGCGATATGAATAGTCTGCTGATCTGCCCGTTTCGGTAACGTTACATGCAAGTTGCATGTAACTAAAATGTACGTTTTTCCAATACAGTGTTAGAGGTGACCCGTGACTTGGACTTGGACTCGACCTTTGTGACTCGTGACTCGGACTCGGCCTGGAGGACTCGGGACTCGGATTCGAGAAATGTGACTCGGACTCGGACTTGGACTCGATGTTTCGTGACTCGAATACAAGTCTGCCATTTTCTAACAATACATACCTGTACTTTGATGGAATTCATTGAAAAATACATTCATAAACTCTCCATGTGTTCTGAAAAGTAAAAAAAAATGAAATAAAAACACTACATGAATATTACAAATTCATATAGCAAAACAGTGTTTTTGTGAGAGTAGAAAAGGGTACAAGTTTTTTAATCACTTCACTTTCCAGAAAATATTTGGGCAGCAGTGTTTTTAGTTTGTTTCTGAGATTTGTTTTTACACAGTATTCATAAATACCTAAGACAGTTTACGCATTCCTATTGGTCGAGAGCTCGTCACGTGGCCGGTCTTAAACGGATGATAAAGACATGGCTAGCTGGTCTTAAACACTTTTCCAGTGTCACAATAAAATGTGGACTCCTAAAAATCCAGAGCCTCTTATCGTTTCATTGGTTGAATGTTCACAATCCTCACGTAGGCATGCGCAACACTACCAGGTAGTCAGAATTTTATAGTTCTAAATTCAAAACGCAACGCGCCAGGTGCGTTCTGCGCGACATCGCGCAGAACATGATACGCGCGCGTCAATCTCCATAAAAGGGTTGTTTACATCTTACTCGCCAGCTGAACACTCCATTATTTTGCAAGAGGGATGTTTCAAAAAGCATAAAGTGAATTTGTTGAACAAAATCGGGATGTTTTGAACGAATTATACAATTTTTTTTTACCGAAAAGGTATATATATGAATGGGAATAAATATGTGCTCCGTCGGTATTTATCACTCTGTTTAAGACCACTTAGAGTCTGGGTGCTGATAATTACCCTTGCCTCCGGCTCGGGTAATTATCAGCACCCAGACTCTAAGTGGTCTTAAACAGAGTGATAAAAACCTCCGGAGCACACATTTATTCCCTTATGTAATTCAAAAAAGCCTGGGCAAGTAGGGGATTTTTCTACTTGAGTATTTGCAAAGAAATTACTCCGAGTGGTAGAATACTCGCTAGTAGTGAACCAATTTTCCATGAAAGCAGAAAAATGACAAATTTAATTAAGTTAATATGACGGGAAGCTACTACCAACATATAGCGAGCAAGACCCTCTATACTGAGATATATCTTTAATAGTGTGTGAGCTTTTGAGTAATTTAATTGCATTTTTTTTTTTTTTTGGACGGATGAAATATTAGGGAGAGAGAGGTGGAGGGAGTGATTCCCTGTTTGCAGGGGACGTATTAACCCCAACTCCCCAGCATGATTTACTAGGAACCGTACCCATCCTGGCAAATTCCAACACCATATGGGAAACTGCGCACACCTATTTCTGACTTTGATTCTGGAGGTGTGCCCATCCCGATGTAAAGGACTGTCAGTTTAAGGGTACTGTACCCATCCTGACAGATTCCAACAAAACATGCCTATGGGGTTTGATGGGTTGAGTTCTGTTAGGGTCAAGCCGTGAACCCTAAACCCTAAATTGCTACTAGCGAGTACCTACTTCTACTCGCGCCAGGACGATTACTCGAGGAGATGAAAGACCGAGAGTCGAACGAGTAGCATAAACTACTCGCAAGTATTCGAGTTATCGAGTTACTCACCCAGCAGTAATGCACATCAACAACTACTGAAACTAATAAATGCGGAGCATTAAGACCCCCCCCCCCCAAAAAAAATACTCGGTCTCTGGTCAGCGCGCGCGTTGATTTTAATCATGCGCGTCAACCTTTTTTTCCCTTCAAATTAGCACGGAAGCTACAACAGCGCCCTCTATTGCCGCGCCTCCTCAAAAATTTTGTACCAAGGAGCACCAAGGAATGGGGAAATTGCACCAAGGCAAATGATAAAGGGCACCAAGGCAAATGATGGAGGACACCAATGTATAATGAGGACACAAAAAAGCAAAAAAAAAACCGCCTTGTCTGTACAATACAAGCTTGAAAAAAAAAAAAGCCACAAAAAAAAAAAAAAAAAAAAAAAAACCGCCGCATCAATTCCGGAACTTCGGTCTGACCAGAGACCGACTATTTTTTTTTGTTGGCCTTATCTTACCTGTCGGCTGATGTGGCCCGCTTCAGCTTAGTTTCTTCTTTATCAAGCAGGCTGTCAGGTTTGAAGGATTTCCTTACCCAAAAAGAACACAAGATTTAAGATTTTCACAAACAAAACACAACATCTAAGATGCCCTGGCATTGCGTCCCTCACGTAAAAAAAAGAGTTGCTTCCAGTAACCGGACTGACCCTAAAACTGTGATTGTACGAAGAGTCGGAGATTGATTTTTTCCTTTAACCCTAACTCCCTGCATGATTTACTAGGATCCATACCCATCCTGACAAATTCCAACACCATATGGGAAACTGCAAACACATATTTCTGACTTTGATTCTGGAGGTATGCCAACCCAATCTAAAAGACTGTCAGTTCAGGGGTACGATAAACCTACCCATCCTGACAGATTCCAACAAAACATGCCGTTGGGGTTTGATGGGTTGAGGTCTGTTCGGGTTGATTAAATAACAAATTTAACAAATCTTATTCGTATCCAGAACTGTATTTTGGAAGCAAAAATATAACCCAAATTCAAGTTTGGAATACTTGTTAACATGCAATAAAGTACCAGCTGTCTGCTTGACAATGTTATCAAAAACACAAATTTCATTATCTTTTAGAGCAGCCAAAAATTGTTCATTCAACTTGAACAAAATCTGTCAAGGGGTTTGAAAACGACAGGATGCAATGTTTTCCTTTACTTTGATTTGTGATGTAATTTTTTAATGAGATCATTGATATGTTGAGCTGCTAGCTGCGTTTGTTTGCGTCGAGCGGAAGTATTCTGGATTAAATTCTTTGCTTGTTTACCTGGTGTTGGCCCTCAAGCATCTCCGAGGCATGTAACTTAATGATCGATGAAGGAATATGGGCTGTGGGAAAAAGTTACGTAAAGTGAGTAAAACTACAGTAAGTAAAACAAATTGTAAATATTCACACAGGATTTGAAATGCTTAAGTTACCCACGAACATTAATTTTCCAATTTACGCATTATAATGCTTGTGCCTTTGAGTTTAAAGATTTATTTCAATTTCTTTTCAAGGATCCAAAACCAGCTAAAAAGATCTCCCCGTTATAGAATTGTGTTTGCATTGTAAACGCTTAAAAACAACACAAAGTTGAAAAACAAAAGTACAATCAACTTTATAGTTTATTAGCAGTATAAACAAAGCCTCATTTTAAGCAGCAGTAACACAAAAGTTAACATCACTGGAACCATTAAAAAGTAAAATGAGAGTTGAGACAAACTCATTATTTTTCATGCAAATTCTATCGCATACTTACTGCAATTTGGTTTCTTGTTCGTAGAAATCTGTAAATCTGAGTTGGTTCTGTGAAAATTGTTCAAAATAAACGTATCAATCATGCCAGATATTTGTTGGGAATTTATAAGTAACCCTTTTAATATTCTTCAACAAATCGTCACCGTTTTCACGAAGAGGCGAATGTAGTATTTCACTGTCTGAACAAACATTCGAGATAATCGCGTTTAAAGTTGGTTCTTTTTTCATTTGACAATTTGAAACTAGAGATGCATAAAATATGCAAGATTTAGGTATCAGAGGAAAGAAGAGATTCTAATCTTCCTAAATGTAGCAAACTTTTGAAAAATAGGTGATTATTTTTGCAGAATTAATCAATTAAGAGAAGTGGCTGTTCGTGAAGACCAATTAGCAAATTCGCCCCTTCGTGAAAACGCTAAAGTGACTACGCACAGATTTCGCCCTTCTGCGGTCTGAGTCAATGCATTTTTTGTACAGTACGCGCAGATTCTGCCCCACTGCGCATGCGCCTTGAAATTCGCCCCTTCGTGAAAACGTTTTATTGCACGCGCATGGAATTCGCCCTTTCGTGATATATGCGCTATTGTATTAGAATGTATTTATTTATTGAAAATTTATTAATACCATAGAGTGCGGAAATTCGCCCCTTCGTAAAAACGCAAAAAGGCACTTTTGGCAAATTCGCCCATTCGTTAATAAGGTTAATCAAGATTTCAACTCATTTTTTGAAAGTATAGCCTCACCAGGTTGTAGATATTGATATGTTTATTCATTTTCACCAAAAAAACCCAAATTTTGAAAAACTTACGATTTTCATGAAATTCACCCCTTAGTCATTCGTGAAAACGGTAACGAAATGAAGCATACTCATACTCACCCTCTGGAAAAAAAATGTTGCAACCTGACGCCACTTTTTTCTTCATATTTCATCTCAATGAAGGTCATACATTGCAAACATGATGATAAAGAGTTAGGACATGAATCTGGCACTGAGAACATTTCCAACTTTGTTACTGTTAGGAAATACTTAGAAAATGTTCTTAACTCTCCATAGACTTTGTACACAATCGCGGAAGTGGTGTCAGGTTGCAACATTTTTTCCCACCCTCTTTATAATTATAAAGAAATGTAGTCCTGCACAGTTTTCGGACGTCAACTTTTTCGTGTAATTTCCAGGTTCGTCTGCACAAGTTTGAGGTTGTGTGTCTAAATTCCAACACAAAATTACACGAAAAATAGACGTCTGAAAAATGCAGGACTACTTTTCTACCACTATAAAGAGGGGGAGCATGCTTCTTTTCTATAGCATAAATAAACTACAAATAGGTCTATACTATAGTCATGATAGTCCAACTGAGAAAATCTAAATTTGACAAGGATCTACATTTTCACAATTTCAGGTAGGCCTACATGTCCCAAGTGTGGCCTTTATTTACGGAGGTAGTCGAGTAAATTGGCCACATTTATGGGGCTACACGTGGCGTTGTTATTGACCCGTTTAAGCAAGGCAACTGAATTTGGGTTTAACTTTAGTTTTCACTTTGTCTATTGTAAATTGTATCAACATGATCATATGGACTTGGAGTTGGACATTTAGTAGACCCGTGAACGTGGCTATAAACATAGCCACGCTTCAGTCTACAGTAAAAACACTCTATTGTGGTCCGCGGTCACTAAAATGGAGTGACCGTTCTAGCCGAATGTCGGCTACATTTGACAGAATATTTGCATACAAAAATGAGTTGTACAGAAAATCAGCAGAATAGTTTTTTTCGGCAGAATTATGAAGATGAAGGAAAATGAAAAAGATTGGAAAGAAATATGGCACATTTGGTTTGAAAAAACTTCAATTTTTGAAAGATCCTTAAAACAAACCCTTGCACAATGGAACAGCAATATAAACTGGGTGATTTGGCAGACTTTCGAAGTGGATTTAGCAGATTTTTACATTGTATTACGGTCATCCTGCCATGTAAGACGGTTAGTCGGGTACCCACTGGTGATACTTCTTCCGTTTTGCGCATGCGGAACTCGGGGTACCAGAGTGTCATGCCTGTCTTTGATTTTCTGATCATTTTGAAAACATTCGTTGTGACAAAGTTGTGCCGTACTTTACATCAAATTTCTTGGCAATGCCAGATCTAGCCCCATAAATGTGGCCTATTTACTGGACTGCCTCCGTAAACATAGGCCACACATCCACATGTACAAAAACGTGTCGACTTTGCCAAATTTTGATTTTCACATTTAGGCTTACTTTGTAGGTTTTTTTTGCTTTAGAAGCATTCTCACTCTCTATATAGGCTAATCAGAAAGTGCTGCCTTTTTCAGATGTCTAATTTTTGTGAAATTTCATGTTGAAATTTTGATACGCAAACGTGTGCAAATGTATCTGGAAATTTCACAAAAAATGGTAAAAAAAGTAAACCTAAAAGTGAAAATCAAAATTTGGCAAAGTCGACACGTTTTAGTACATGTGGATGTGTGACCTATGTTTACGGAGGCAGTCCAGTAAATAGGCCACATTTATGGGGCTATGCCAGATCCAACACTCGAGGAAATTCACAGGAGGCCCAACAAGTAAGTGATTCACCTATGGGCAAAATTATACATGGTTATATAGTCGTGTTCCCTAACGTGGCGCACTTCGAAGCTTACCCAAATTTCCTTGTGTAGTGTTGCCAAACCTCTTTGTTGATAAACCTCAAATTTATGCAGTGAAATACTGGTACTTTTACCTTTTTAATGCTTGCTATTTAACCTCTGTGAACAATTTCGGTTTCACAAAATTTCATCCGAAATGCAAAAACGGTCGCGTCCGGGCATTTTCAAAGGGTTCACTTTGCACTTGAAAATAAAATCGGAAAATCACACCAAAATTATTTTTTCTTTTAACTTGTAACGGGTAAATAAACTCGCGATTTATAAACGGGAGTGTTTAGAACTTGATGAAATTTCACTTTCTGTGAAATTTCAGTTAAAACTTTTGCTCTAGCTAGGCGATACAGGCGAAAAATCAAAGTGCGCCACGTTAGGGGCCGCGCCACGTTAAGGTACATCAACAATATGTAGCGGATCAAAAGATAGAATGCTGTCGCTTGTATTTACCCGACGGAAACGCATGGCGTTGTATACAACCAGACAACGCCACGTGCACAGGTCTAGACATTTAGACATTATAATTTTCATTGATTGGGTTCCCTTCTTTACTTTTCAACAGATGACCTGGTACAACTATAGAATGCAGGGCCACTTTACTCTACATCCGCGCCTCCGTACGGCTGCGTGGAGGCGTGGAACCGCAGTCGACCTACCTCTGAAAATCGATCGTGGAGTCGTGGAGCCGCAGAGAATTGCGCCCTCTATCGGTGCGCGTCTCTGCGACTCCGCGACTCCGCGCCTCCACCACTGAGAGACAGTGCCCCGTCGCCCTCCCCCCCCCCTTCCTAATTTGCGCGCCCAATTAAAGCGACTCTGCGACTCCGCGACTCCGCGCCTCCGCGACTCCAGACAGTGCCCCGTCGCCCTCCCCCCCTTCCTAATTGGCCCGCCCAATTAAAGTGACTCTGCGACTCCCCGACTCCGCGCCTCCGCGACTCCAGACAGTGCCCCGTCGCCCTCCCCCCCCTTCCTAATTGGCCCGCCCAATTAAAGTGACTCTGCGACTCCCCGACTCCGCGCCTCCGCGACTCCAGACAGTGCCCCGTCGCCCTCCCCCCCCCCTTCCTAATTGGCCCGCCCAATTAAAGTGACTCTGCGACTCCCCGACTCCGCGCCTCCGCGACTCCAGACAGTGCCCCGTCGCCCTCCCCCCTTCCTAATTGGCCCGCCCAATTAAAGTGACTCTGCGACTCCCCGACTCCGCGCCTCCGCGACTCCAGACAGTGCCCCGTCGCCCTCCCCCCCTTCCTAATTGGCCCGCCCATTTAAAATGGATATGGATGCTTCGTTCTCAAAAAGATTCCGCCGAGAATTGCGCCCTCTATCGGTACGCGTCTCTGCGACTCCGCGACTCCGCGCCTCCGCCACTCCAGTGCCCCGCGTCTCCGCGATTCTGCGACTCCAAGACTCCGCGCCTCCGCCGCTCCAGACAGTGCCCCCAACACATTTACAAGCACGCCCTCCCTTCCGATCCTTCATGAGAAGCTTTGAAGACAAGTGCAGTGCATTCCTTCGCTGTACTTAGCACTTTTTTGCAGGTTTGCATATCTATTACTCCTATTCCATCCACGCCTCCAGGCAAAATAAAAAACCTTGCTTCGGCGTGGCCCTGCATTCTATAGTTGCTCCGATGACCTTTCAAAATATCACTCTATCATTATTATCAAGTAAGCGGAACCCGAGGGCCGCCCACACATAGACAAGCGTCGCGTGAGGCGTCAGTGCAGACTATGTCAATGATTTTCCATTCACTTACGCGCGATTCAATTCAAACGCTGTGTGTGCTGCATGTGTTTTGTACTTTACTACTTACTCTCGAAAGCCTGGAGAAACAGTTCATGATCGGCTTGAAGTTGCTCGAATTTCGGGTTCCGCTGGACGGACCTGGTATTGGGATGCCTGTGTGGTGCCATTCTTGTTCATCCACTATCACTTATCGATTTAAATTCCGGGCATTTGACCCAAAAATTCACAGCCCACCGCCCGTGCACCTTTGCGACTTTACCGCGGGAACACACAAAAGGAATTGTGGGTATATTCGGTCGAGTATCGACTACCAGTACTCGAAAAGGAGACAATGAGTTGTTCTGAAGTGGGGTACTTTGTCTGGATTTTTTTTCGAAACACCCCGATTTCAGTTGGATCGTGGTGGAAACCGTGGGATTAATATAAATTGCCGCATGAAAGAAGCGAGAGCTGTTGTATCTTTTTGTTTATATACTAAATGTAACTCGGAAGAACGGGAAGATTACAAGTAAGCACTTGGAACGATTAACTCGATACCAACAAATACTTCAACGTAATACTATAGAAGAACTCGATACTATAGAAGATATTTCCTGGACATTATGATGTGCCTTTGGGGGGGGGGGGCACTAAACTCCCTTATACCAGGCAAGCCGTAAACACTTTTGTGGGATTTAACAACCTTGACATTTCAGATTTTTGATTTTAATAATATGTGCTTTATTTATCCTAGGAAAAATTAACCGATGAAATTCACTTTAGGGAAAAGGCAATAGTCAGATTTGACTAAACCAGTTAAATTTGACTAGCCATGCATTTAGGGTCAGCTGGGTGCAACTGAGAATCAGTCAATCTGACTAGATTTTTCCAGTCAGTATTATAAACTTTGGAAAATTAGTTATGCAAATAACTGAAATTGGAGTCGAACCCAACCACTTTTTTATAGCGTGAAACTTTGTATGTTTAACTAAATTCCTATTCAAAAAACAGTCAATATTTTGACTATAGAAAATCAGAGTATCGGTCCATGGAGGTAGAAGGCTTGTCGGTATTTTGTTGGACAAGTTTACCAGATAAACTGTATACCTCGTCCATAATATCCGATATCGATCCTGTGCAGCCGTACAGCAAAAAACCGAAACTTGAAAACCTGATAGGGACAGCAACTGATGCGGCACATGCACAGGCGATGATGTCTCTTGGTATAACACCGTCCGACACCGCCTTACAGGTTCTAGTCACATGCATGCATGCCGATCCATCATTACCATTCGGCTTCTTTCGACTTAATTCATTCATATAACGATAAAAACGTCGCTTGGCTAAAAAAAAAATCGAGAGCCAACGGCCCGGTATCCTTTGTCGACTCGAAGTGTCTCAAGACTACTGGATATCTTATTTAGTAACTTTTAAAAACAGAAAAAGGGTGATAGTACTGAGGCCAGCCAAAGGTTGAAAAGTTCTCTAGAAAATAATAACACGGCATTTTGATAGCTGACATCCATGCCAGATCAATTCTTCGAACCACAACAGACGAGATGTGGGTGGATGCCATCGTTGATTTTGACCCTAAATTTACCTAATTTGCATAAATCGTTAATATCTGCCGAATAATATATTTTCCCCCCAGATTGGGTAGGCCAATTCAATTTTGTTTTGTTTTGAAAATGTTATGTTGGTAATTCTACTTACACATCCTTACTTCAATAACATTTTCTAAAGCATATAAGTGAGTGAATAATTATGAGTAACGATCCAAAATGATGACTACTATTATACCCCAAGTTGCGCGCATTTAGGGCCTACCTTGTCTCCAGCTATATCTTGAAGTAGTCTTACCAAACCTAAGTATTGATGACAAAAACGCCGGGGGAAAACGAGGTGTCTGTTAATTGTTGCCTATATGGGAGACATGAAAAAGTTCAAGGAAATTAATTCCCAAAATTATTGGGAAGAAAATTAATGGAAAGAAAATATTTTGACACTGACATTAGTGCAAGCAATGATTTTTTTTTTGGGGGGGGGTGGGGGATTTCCTTGAACTTATTCAAGTTTCCCACGTTAGGCGACCCAAATTAGCCCAGTTTACGTACATCAACCAGTTCGTTTTCCCCGTTTTTGTTTGGTGAGCTAAATATCAAAAATGTTCGCATGATTTTCCTAAAGGTTTTAATAGGAGTAAGCAACTTGGTGAATTCGAAGCTCATCACTAGGTTTAGCGAGACTAGTGATGATAATTATTTGAAAACAAGGTAATTGCGCGCAATTTTCGTTAAGGCATGGAAGCAGAATCACCGATATAAATAAACTTTTCAAAAAATAAAAAATATTGAATATACCCGTTACCCAATGGGAATAAATATTACAAGGCAGGGATTAACAATGTATTGTATGTATATTATGTTTATTTGGGTCAAAATTACGGGGGTGGCATCCACCTTCATTTTCTACTCCATCCTTTGACTGATTGATGTCTGGTGCATGAATTACCAAAAAGTTCTACTTTGGTTGCCTCGGGCAAGGATGCGGGCCTCAATTATAGAGATGGAGATAATAGTGTCACCTTTCAGATTAAAGTTTCTCGATAATGTTTACCTAGTACCGCTATGATGGGGTGTTACATAATAATAGACTGACGGACCAAACACTGTACAGTGCATAGCCTGTGCAGTCGCTTTTCATCATTTGCGGATGTGCACGTATGCGGAACCCACGTACATTGTATATTGATTATGGTAGTGGAGCAGCAGCCCAGCAAAACGCGTGTACATTCATGGAGGAATATCTGAGTATATTCCCAGTCATTATGGTTCAGTGAAGTTCTATACTTCTCTGTTCTGCTTTCAGGACAAAGTTCAACAAAGTTTCGGCACATGTCACCACAGTGTAGAGGTGAGTCAGGCCATGAGAAAACTGTTTCTGCCAACTCCGCTGGGCAGAGTTTCGACAGGGAGGGAGGAGGACCAGTATGGTTGTTATGTGTACATGCACATGTGTGACACATTGCACGTAGCTTCATTGACCAATGGAGGAATAAAAACGCGTCCATGATTGACCTACGCCATTGACGGCCTGCCAATCAATGAAATTGGACTTACATCGTTTTCATTGTGTGATTAAATCCGTCAATGCTGGCCCCAAAACCACTAATGTTGTTATGTTGAAATCCATGCGCTGTATACAGATGTGCATTTCCGTAACAGGTGGATATGGGGAAGGTAAGTGTTTTATTTCCCCATGGTCATGATGGTTCATGTGTACAAAATGTTTATGACGTATTTTATGATACTCGAGCGTCGAAAACTTACTGCCCCTGTTTATGATCAAACCATGGTCATTCATTCATGATTGTGCACATAGCTCCATAACATCCCTTTTTGTGGGTTACCTTTTGGGGACACCTTGTATTTCTATTTAAAAAAAAAAAATTTTTTTGAAGTATCTTTAAAATTTGGATAAAGTAGACGGTGCAGCCTTCTTAACTATTTATATATTTTGTAAGAAGAATTCGTATTCATCGATAAGTGGTTTTTCTTTTCCTCTGAATTATAGCTATTTGTTTTGTACATGTTTCTTCTACCATACATTTTGGCACTTGTGCAAATCCGATTGAGCTCAGATTTGCCACACGTACGGTGTCAAGTTTGTGCAAGGATTGTTGTAGAACATTACCGCCGCGATGATGTTCGGCTGTGGGAAATAAATTAGTTTTACATTAATTGATTTTTGTCCCTATTTGCTCAGTACCGCAGGAAACACAGATTGCATGGGCATGTGTTGTATACCAGCTTCAAGACTTGGTTTTGCATACAGTAGCATTGCGGGAAACACAAATATAGCATCTTTTGTAAAATAAACCAGAATATTTCATAGAGCCATGATTTTGATAGACCTGAAAAGATGCAAAAATATCCAAGCACCAAAGAAGCCAAGGATCCGGGCAGTTGAAATAGGGCTCCAAGCAGCGCGCGACGATGGTGGATAAAATCATATAATATTATTACATAGCGGATTTACAATATCACACAACACACTGACAACATCACATTGACATCACATAATAGATGACAACATCATATAATCACTTACCGGATTGACAACATCACATAATTGACTACATCACATAACAGATTGACAACATCACATAATAGATTGACGACATCACATAATAGATTGACTACATCACATAATGCATTGACTCATCACATAATAGATTGTCGACATCATATAATGGATTGACTACATCACATAATAGATTGTCGACATCATATAATGGATTGACTACATCACATAATAGATTGTCGACATAATGGATTGACTACATCACATAATAGATTGACTACATCACATAATACATTGTCGACGTCATATAATGGATTGAGTATATCACATAATAGATTGACTACATTACATAATTATAGATTGACAACATCACATAATGGATTGACTACATCACATAATAGATTGACAACATCACATAATAGATAGACAACATCACATAATAGATTGACTACATCACATAATAGATTGTCGACATCATATAATGGATTGACTACATCACATAATAGATTGTCGACATCATATAATGGATTGACTACATCACATAATAGATTGACTACATCACATACTACATTGTCGACGTCATATAATGGATTGACTACATCACATAATAGATTGACAACATCACATAATAGATTGACTACATCACATAATAGATAGACAACATCACATAATAGATTGACTACATCACATAATAGATTGTCGACATCATATAATGGATTGACTACATCACATAATAGATTGACAACATCACATAATGGCTTGACAACATCACATAATAGATTGTCGACATCATATAATGGATTGACTACATCACATAATAGATTGACGACATCACATAATGGCTAGACAACATCACTTAATACTAGATTGACGACATCACATAATAGATTGACGACATCAAATAATAGATTGACGACATCACATAATAGATTAACTACACCGCATAATATATCGACAACATCATCAAATAACGTTTATCCAGTTACATCATAAATTGGTACGTTTGTCGTTCCATACATAGCCACCCGGTGGCGATTTGATGATACCAAACAAAACAAGACAAGACAAGACAAGTTGACAAGACAAACAAACTCAGGACAAAATGTGCACTATTTTGCTGACGTGAGTTATGTAGATTGCACCATGCTACTACTTCAGGTCTCATAAAATTATGGGCCATTCAATGCGTCATGTAATGTCCTATGGCCTGGTCCGAAAATTTGGAACTCTCAATACTGTGTATGAGAGTCCCCAAAACTTACGGTATTCAAAACATGCAATACAAGAAAATAAACTGGCACCTGAAACAACCAGTCCACTACCGCTTCAGTACTGCATCAATCAAACTGCGCCAAAAGAAACATGTGGCATGAACTGGGTAGTCTCTAATATACACATTTCTCTAAAGTCAGCCACCAGACTAATGACACTGAATGAAGATGTCAGTCTTTTCAAATAGTTGGACCATGGTTGGACATGTACCAGTCTAGTCTTTAGCCTCCTGATGTTTAAATCACTTGACTTTCTCACGTGCAAAAACATTGAAGAAAAAAACTCCTTAAAAATTGAATTGAGTCTGCAAACTTGGTTGGTGAAATACTGAGGACCTTTTCTTTGCCCAATGGAATTGAATTTAGTTTTGCACGTTTCAGAGTACCCCGTGCAGGTCTCAGTGTTGTAATGTCCGTGACAGAGTACTTAAGAGCTCAGTCAATAAATAAACATGCAGAGAAAATGTATTTTTCAAATCTTATACATCCCTCATCTGGATTAATGCATCAAGGAGATTACATTATAGTTTGGATCATTTTCTCTGAACCGTTATCACAATGTATCACGGACCGTTGGCTCTGTCACGGACATTACACACTTAATAATGAAATTGCTCGTACACAGATTTAAAATATTGAAATGTGTTCTATGTTTTTGGCACCGAAGATCGAAACCAGAATATACTAAAATTTGACGTGTAAGATAGAGGAGGCTTGTTCTGAAAAGGGAAACCTGTTAATGTGCACACAAACTGCAGTTGACTCCTGATTACTGCATATCTTTAAATCCCTTTTACGCAATTCTATAATTTTTTTCGGTTGCTGAACATCGCATCATAATGATGGGATGATTATTGTTATTGTTATTGTTAAGTTTGTTTGCATATCATCACCGACACCACGGAGTAACACTTAAGTACAGATAGGCCAATGTGTTACTTCGTGAAACCACTAAATAGCAAGTTAAGTTGGTTTCACGAAGTAACACTCAAGTGGATGTGCCCTTGCACATCCAACACTGGCGCAAACGATTTTCATTTTCTTGTTACAACATTTTTTACGGAAAACCTTTTGAATAAAAACGTTTTAAAACGTTTGACAGGAATGTAATTAATCCATATTCTTGTTGGATTACAGAAAACGTTGATAAACTGGTGAAATAAAGTTCAGTGTTACTTCTTGAAAACGAAAATTACCGATTCAGCGCACTGTGTACATGAGTGTTACTTGGAATTCGTGAAAACGAAAATCACTCGTTTCTGTATAAAATATATACGTGCGCGTGGTGCGAACTCAAGTCCACTTGAGTGTTACTTCGTGGTGTCGCTGACGATATTTTGTGTTGGAGACAGAGATGCAACTAAGCCGGTGACTAAGCGAAGACATTTAAAATAAATAAAGAGTATCACTACATGTTTTCTATAATGAACTTGAGCCCGTAAAATGTCACTTTTGACTGTCCGTCATGCAGGAACTGGAGGCTCAAACTGACTGAAACTGCAGTGAGAGGGTCGGACACGCGAGATGGGTGTGGGTGCCCGACGTGGGGGTCGAGCTAGGCGTGCACATCACCGTAGGCAACATCGTCAACGTCAAAGACGACGTCATCATCACCATCATCATCACCGCCGAACTGGTGCCCATCACGGTGCCCGCATCACCTTCCCCTTCCTCTTTGGTGGCCGGCACCAGCGCGCACATGCTGGTGCCCGCACCGCCGGTGGTGCCCAGACCACTGTTACGATCACATCGTCATCCGATGACAGTCGCCCAGTCCGCCGGTCACCAGCCTCATGCCTGCTCTCATTGGTGGTTACCGTGTTTTTGTTGGCGGGGATAATCGTCCCGTTCGCTGTCCCCGCTGTGCCGTTCCCGATCGGCATCACGTGCACTATATTGTTTCTGCTCATCATCGTTGCGCCGTTCGTCTCGAACGTGGTCCAGACGAGAAAGGCGCGAATGGGTGCCGAGCCCGATGTCGAAGCACCGACACCTGCCGAAGAGGTACCGACGACGTCCGAGGGGACGAATGGCACCCCGGCTGCCTACAACACTGTTTGGAGTACACTCACGAGCATGACCTACACGGCGGGGCCTCGAGTTGTCGTAGGAGGACCGAACGGTGCTACAACTACCTCGACTGTCTTCTACGGAAACTCCACGATAAATATGGATGGTGTGAGCATTCACAATCCAGGAGGGATGAATGGGTAAGTGGAACAAGATTTTGTATTGTATTCAAATAGCTTGGCCATCAAGTGTGATTGAACTCGAGGATTTTTGTTTGTTTGAAATTGCGACCTGCTGAAGTTGACCTGCATGAGGCTCTTTATTTGTTGAAATAAACACCTTTAACATTTTGGTGCGTCGATTTGCTTTTTTTTTTACGTCCACAGCGGCCAACCAAACACCGGTTACGCCTACGATCCGCCGCCGTCTTTCACCGAGGCTACCTCTTACCATCAAACCGCAACACCAGAGGCCGGTGTTGTCGATGACACTTCGCAAGGACTGCGCCCAGATCCGGCGGGATACCCAGCTGGACACCCGGCTCCTGGATACCCGGCCACCCAGCCTGACGTGGCTGCTGGGGCTGATTCACCAGAGTCTGAGTCTGCACTGGACGAGCCCTTGCCCCCGCCGCCATCTTACGAAGAAGCCGTAGGTGGTACCGCTTAGCAACAACAAGATGAATTCACGAATCCCCTTGGTTCGAATTCTGTTCAGATTCATCCAACAAAATACTACATAATTACTTAATATTACCATCTCCTCCATACCACCAATATATATATATATATATATATATGTTTTTTAATCAGCACTGGCTTCAACAACCTTCATTATCTTAATGTAATTAAGAAGGCTGAAGAATTTTGCAAATAATTTCCTAATAATTATAATCTTTTATTGAACGCCTGAACAAATCCCCGCCGTCCGATTGTTGTTCGTTGAATTATTCGTTTCAACGCATGCGCAAGGCGCGGCCGCATCGCAAAAACAGGCCCTTCCATTACACGGTAAATAAAACTTCCATTGGTTGCGCTGCAACACAGCACTGATGGCTTTAATGCTGATTTATCATAGACCAATTTTACAAGTTCCCGATCAGATGACGGGGACTTATTCGGGCTTAGTAGGCCTACAACAAATAATAAATGTTTCACCTTCGTCCAATGAAAAGAATCTTCAGTGACAGATATAATGTTCCATTCCACTTGGCTTTGAACATTCCATTTGTCACCTCATGAAATTATTCTTACCATTGCACTCATAAACAGTCATTAAACTGTACAATAATGTTAAACAAGTAGTTTCATAACATGAGATTTATACGTATGTGTTAGTCTGTCTTTTAGTTCAAACCATTTAGTTCATTTAACATAATTATTTGCATTCTTGAAGCTTTTAAATAATTATCTCATCCAAATCTAATAAAGTTGTAAATATTAATGATATTATCATCCTTATATTTTAACTCTATTTACTAAAATCTATTAAATACATACGAAACTATTGGGATGCATGACTGTTGGAAGTGACGAACACTCGAACAGACTACATTATTGTATACATATATTATTTTGTCCTACCACATCAATAATATAGATAATTCAGGCTTATCTGGAAATTTGAGTACAGATTTTGTATGGTTAGGTACCATGTCAAGTTTTATAATTTGTAGTATATTGTGTATCTTCAGATATCGTTGATTGTCAAGTATTCATAAGTGCATCTATATTTTGTATATTGTATACCTCTCAATGCATCATTAAAGTTCATATTTTTCAAACTACACTGTATCACTTTTGCCTCCCTCAGTCTGTCGATGTCCGGTAAAATAAAAGACTTTACCGCTTTACGGTTACCATTGACTCCAAAGAAAGGAATTTGATGTAACGGTTGTCTTATACCAGATGACGCTGGATAATTAATGTTAAGTAAGCTGATGAGAGTTGTCATTGACAAAGACAAGATCAACATAATATGTGGTGCCATGCCATGTTATTTTATTCGTGAATTCAAAGGACGAAATTCCTAGCTACCAATCCAAACCCTGACTTAAGCCCGGTTCATACTCTGCGCGAAAGCGAAAGCGAACGCGAAATTGTGACGTCGTGGCAAGTATTCGCGCTGCGAATTCGTACAAGTTGAACATATTTAAACTCCAGCGAATTTCGCAACGAATGTTTTATGACGTCAAATTCACTCGCATTCGCTTTCGCATGAAGTATGAATTAAATAATTACTTAATGATACCCTTTCCTCCATATCACAAAAAAATATATATTTTTATCAGCACTGGCTTCAACCAACCTTCATTATCTTAATGTAATTAAAAAGGCTAAAGAACTTTGCAAATAATTTCCTAATAATTATAATCTTTTATTGAACGCCTGAACAAATCCCCGCCGTCCGATTGTTGGGTCGTTGTTCGTTGAATTATTCGTTCCAACGCATGCGCTTGGCGCATCGCAAAAAAGGACCTTCCATTACACGGTAAATAAAACTTCCATTGGTTGCTTTGCAACACAACACTGATGGCTCTGATGCTGAATTATCATAGACCAACTTTACCTTTAAGTTCCCGATCAGATGACGGGGATTTATTTGGGCTTAGGAGGCCTACAACAAATAATGAATGTTTCACATCCGTGGAATGAAAAGAATCTTTGGTGACAGATAGTGTGTTTTATATAACTGACATACAGATCCTAGTCATTTAATTGGTGGAACTCACATCACGTGACATTCGTTATTGCTCCCATTTACGCCGCGGCTCAAAAAGTACTATCCGCCCATAATGGGGAATGGGAAATACTATTCAACAGTTAGGATCATGACGCGGTATTTGTGTGCAAATGCATGCTGGTGAGCGCGTTCAGCGTTGCGCGTAGCGCGTATTGTTCCAAAGAGCCAGCGCTACAGCGTTGGGTTCAAACATTTTCGTGAATGGGTGGTTTGGAAGAGAGAAATACATTTTTCTCCAGTTTTGTATTGAAAAAAAGTTCAAATACATCAAATGACAAGGATCTATATGTCAGTTATATAAAACAAATATTGAGTGGCTTTAAATTGTGAAATGGGAGGAATATTATCGCTCGGTAAAATCTGGACTTTTCCAGTTCACTCGGCTTCGCCTCGTGAAATGGAAAAGTCCAGATTTTACCTTGCGATAATATTCCTCCCATTCCACGCTGAGCCACTCTATATTTGTATACCATTCCACTTGGCTTTGAACGTTCCTTTTGTCACCTCAATTCGTTTTTGTCATTCGTTATAATGTTGTATAACATTTCGTTTCTGGTGACTTAAAACGTTACGATTAGAAAATGAGCCCAATATTTCAAGTGAGAATTTCTACGCGAGCCCATTAGCATATTAGCTTATTCATTCAATGCCCTACCTACACCTCTTAAATGCCCTTTGGCTGCTACTCTTGCCAGCTTTAAAAACACATACAAAAACCTGCTTTTTTAATGTACTAGTGCAGTACCCATCGATAATGTGTCTGTTATAATGGGGCAAATTGCTTGACCTCTGGTTTTGGTTGCTTACAGCTTTTTGAGAACTGCTCATCATGCAGACAATTATGATGCGCGAGATTTAATATTATTCACGCAGAGTTTTATGCAGTGCATGGGTGCTCCTGGTTTTTTTTCAGTGCAATTCTTTGGGTGTGTGTATCTGTGTTTTGTTTGTTTTTACTGAATGGTCCATGATTATTTTTTATGCATGTATATTTTAAGTGTTTTTATGTACCCATATTTTACTATTTACTATTTTTAGTGTTTTCTGTAATTGTAGTTTTTAATGAATTGTTCTGTATAATTGCTGGGCACCTCTGGAAAACAGTGTACCACTGAGAGGTTTCCCCAGGGTAAATAAGAAATAAATAAATAAATAAATAAATAAATAAAAAGTGCCCGCACAACTTCGTTTGAAAACGGAGACTGTTTGGCTTTAAAAACGGTGGAATTGTGTAATTATAGTTAAGGATCAACTCGCTTGTTTTGGGACTTCCATCTGAGGGTCGGTTTGATAAAATTACGGTTGAAAAATGGGTCCTATTTGCTTGAGAAAGTGGAAGAATGCCATTTGTAAAATGGCTTCATGCAGGCTTGGGAAATATCACCTTTCTGGAGGTGATTTTGTTTTGGTGTAAACATTTGCATTTGTAATTAATTGGCTAGTCCATATACCCAAATTTGAAAAGAAATGAGAAGATGCAGGACAAGACAATAATTAAATTTTTGTTTGAGAAACCCCAGTGATGTTGGCTTGCATGTTATTTGGCCCTGAACTTTGTTGATTTTACACTGTTTTCGTTGGGGCCTGAATTTAGTTCAGTGCACCATTACCTTACGTACGCATGGACACCGACCACTATAGACCGCTTGCAGACGCGTTCGATAATCGACGCGCGAAGGCGCGCGATGCCATGTTGTGGGACAGGCGTATATCAATTCACGCACATTTTGTCCCATAACATGGCGTCGCTCACCTTAGCGCGTCCATTATCGAACGCGTCTGCAAGCGGTCTATACAAATATAGAGTGGCTCAGCGTGGAATGGGAGGAATATTATCGCAAGGTAAAATCTGGACTTTTCCATTTCACGAGGCGAAGCCGAGTGAACTGGAAAAGTCCAGATTTTACCGAGCGATAATATTCCTCCCATTTCACAATTTAAAGCCACTCAATATTTGTTTTATATAACTGACATATAGATCCTTGTCATTTGATGTATTTGAACTTTTTTTCAATACAAAACTGGAGGAAAATGTATTTCTCTCTTCCAAACCACCCCTTCACGAATGTTTGAACCCAACGCTGTAGCGCTGGCTCTTTGGAACAATACGCGCTACGCGCAACGCTGAACGCGCTCACCAGCATGCATTTGCACACAAATACCGCGTCATTATCCTAACTGTTGAATAGTATTTCCCATTCCCCATGGGCGGATAGTACTTTTTGAGCCGCGGCGTAAATGGGAGCAATAACGAATGTCACGTGATGTGAGTTCCACCAATTAAATGACTAGGATCTGTATGTCAGTTATATAATGATCTCTATATAAAGAGATCAGTGACACCGACCGTGAATTCTGTGTTCGGTGAGGGCGCTCTGTAACCTAGATCACGGAAGTAGTTTGCAGTACAAAGGTCACTTTGCACGGTTCATTGCATTCGAATTCAGTCCCTGTGTGTACGCGAAGTAAATGGTGGTACGGTAGACATTACATAAGGTTTACCGTTATTACATGACTGATTGCCGATCCTCTTGGGAAAATCTCGTGGTTCCCACATGATATTTCCAGATCATTTGATTCTCGGATTGAAGAGTGTTTAACGACGTTTCTCAAGTTTGGATGACTGCTTCTGCTCGATCGTGTTTATGGAGGTTCTGCATTTCGCACAACACAGTCCAACTCGCGTGGAAGCTATTTGCTTTCACCCCAGGATTACTCATGCACATGGATGATTTAAGATTTTTTTTAAATTCGAGCAAAGCCTTCAAGAGCTGCATATGATGTACAAATGTCTCTACCGTGAAAGTTAGTTATCAGTTGGTAACTTGAACTTTTTTGGGTGACAGTACAAAGGCTCTGTAGTGGTCAATGCACCCCGGTGACTGCCTATTGTTGCAATAAGTACGTTATAATTAATGTCGGTGCGTGCAGGTACTAGGACGACCTCTCCGGCTGCCGGGTCAGCAACCACCGCCGACCCGGGCTGCAGCAGCACCCGCTGGTGCTGGTGGGCATCACCGTGCTGGTTCGCGAAAACTGTCACGCTCTTCGTGGTCTGGCTGGCATTGGTTACTCTCCAGTTTTTAGAGCGCGAGGCCCCGGTTCAAGTGGCCGCTTCGGCCTCTTTGGTTGTCGTCTCGTTGTTCCTCGTGCACCGCATCTACAAGGTAGGACGGTTGCGGCATGCTCGGAGAAGGAAGAATGCGAGAGCGCCGGTCCATGATAACCCGCCAGCCAGCACCGAAGTCAATGGGTAAAATAGAACACTAGATCCACTCTCTTATTAAAGCAGACTCATTTGCATAACACACGTTTTTTCTTTTTCAGTAACAACACCACTCAAAATCCAAAGACGAATGCTCAAAACCTACCGCCAATCAGAAGTTTCAGCTCAGTGGATATCACTTTCGAGACAAAAGTGAACTTGCACAACCCCTTTGATCACGAAACACGATAGGCCATATTTATCAATTTAACCCTAACTAGTAGGAGGTGTGTAAAATCATATTGAAATAGGAGGATTCAGGACTATCGCCTGCAGTGTATAGGCCTATACATTTCTTGATTTCTAAAACTTCGGAGATGGCAATCAAGCCATGTGGTGAATATACACCACTTCCATTGTATTTTATGGTAAGCTTTTTGATATGATTCCGTAGGAATGCTTTTGGGATAAATTTGCAAATGAGCTTGTTTAAAAGACAAAACGATTATTAATATGGTAACGTGGTCCGTCGTGGAGCATTTCATTAAATGATTCCCCCCCCCCCCCCCTTGAATTGGCTGATGAAGGCTCACGAATTATTAACTTAGTTTCATTAAAATGACCGAGACCACTCCAACTTAATAATAGGTGCAGTTTAAAGGGAAAATACAACATTTGCAAACATCAAAAAATAAAACTACCAAATTTTTTGAAATACCTTGCTGGACTGTTAGTGAATGACAGTGTAAAGCATCCTGTAAAATCATGGCACCTGGTATACTGTCATTTTCAAGAAAAGTGGTATTGTTGTATCAATTTCCAACACTGATCGGCCGATCAGCGTTGGAAACAACTGGCTTTTTTTTCCAAATACTGGCCCCAATTGACCATCGCACTTGTTTGCAAACGATTACAAACCTGTGAACGGGTACGAGCCAGCTAGACTGGTTCCCTGACCTTACAATTCCCCAATGTATGTAAACTGCTCTGTTTCTTCTTATATGGAGTCAGGGAACCAGACTACAGGAAAATGATCGTTTTTCTTGGTTTTTATAGCATTTTCGAGCCCAAAACCTCAAAAAAGTCAGTGTAACTATATTTGCTATATATTTCCAACCCCCCAATTCCATCCATTTCTGAAAATTACGGCAAAAGCAAATGATGTATATTCCCTTTAATAAGGAAAGGCACTGGAGAAAGATTTTTAATCATTTGCTAATGACAGTACGAACCAGTGTTGGAGCAAAGGCTTAAACCTTCAAAGCCAAGGCTTTGACCCTCAAGGCCAAGGCCAAGGCCAAGGCTTAGATCTTCAAGCCTCGAGGCCAAGGCCAAGGTTTAACCCTCAAGGCTAAGGCCAAGGCCCTGTTTTATAAAATGACCACTGATATAGAACTGAATTATAGTCACATGACACATCATCACGAATCGCCCATTAAGAAGAACAACATGTCTTAAATTGCAATCAACATGCTCGCATACACCGTTTTATGACTGCATTAGATCTATTAAAGTATAAGTTCAGGTCTTCAATATGGTTTAACTAAAACAAAATAAAGATTTACTTCTATATTGACGCACAATTCTCCTGAGTGCAACAAAAGGGGGATCCAAGAAACTGATTTGGGAAAATTTTATTTGCTGGGCCAACATGGTCAGAAATATCAGCATCTAAAACAGATACATGCAAATCTTTAGCACTTATCAGGGAGACATACAACCAATCTATTCCATAATTGTATGCAATGTAAGTGATCATCTCATTAGCCCCACAAGTGTACAAAATATTTTTGCAGCAAATCTTCTTCAATGGTAACAACATGTGATGCTATAAAAGTGGAAGTGTGCCCAACACACAAATCTACAAGGGGTTTCCCTCCTCCATGGTAATACGATTAAAATGGTAACAGCAACATTTTGAACAGATTTATCTGGAAAATGCAAAAATCTATGGGCCTTGAAGAGCCTTGACTCAAAATTGCAAGGCCGTGATCCCTCAAGGCCAAAGCCAAGGCCAAGGCTTTTGCCCTTAAGCCTCGAGGCCAAGGCCAAGGCCCTCAAATCCAGCCTTAAGGCCAAGGCCCAGATCAAGGCACTACATCACTGGTACGAACTGAATAACGATGCAGATATCTAGCGCCAATGAACAACATCTTGAGAAAGAAAACCAAGCAAATTTCAACACCTTCAATATACACTCTGAAAACCCCCTTCACCAGCTCTTCATCCTTTTCTTCCTTGCTTACTTTATTAGCGGGCAGATTCACAACAGATTCGACTACGATCCGCCGCCGTACTTCACCGAGGCTGCAGCCACGCGCCCGACGGTCCAACCTGTTGCAAGTCTTCGTAACGGACCTGCAAACACCGCCAACGCAGGCTGCAAAGGCAGCCTCGGCCGTCGATTAGTCCCCTGGCTCGGGGTCGTACTGCTTGCCGCGGTGCTGCTGGCTTTGATGATCATCCCATATTTTGTACCTGTGGTGCCCATCTCAACCGGCATTTCATTCACGGCGGTTTTCATTCTTGCAATCATCGGTTCACAAATCCCAAAGGCAAGACAGATGTGGAAAGGTCGTAGAACTAGAACGAGAAACGGAGCACCTGGAACGAGGAACGAAACGTCTACAACGAGGAACCAAGTGCCTGGAACGAGGAACGAAACGTCTACAACGAGGAACCAAGTGCCTAGATCGAGGAACCAAGCGCCTAGATCGAGGAACACTGCGAGGACAGGGACCGAATCTCATAGAGCATGGAACGCACCGTCTGTAATCAATGGGTAAGGCCAAACAAAAAAAGTCTCCAGTTTCTGGTATGGAGCTTGCCCAAAAAGTGGTGCGGTGACGCGGCTTTTTTTTTTTTTTTACCTGATTGTTTTGCTTCAAATGTCGGCTGATGACTGCAAATGGTGCCCGACTAAACTGAGTGCAAATATATGGGAGTCCAGAGAGGCCACATAAAGCTTATTCTCGACCATAACCCAATCTAAAAACACGTTACAATTGTGCAGCAGCAGCAGGATTCCAGTCAAGCCAGTGAGTTTGGCGGTTTTGAGACATCATCTTTTTTTTATTGAAAAACTACTTTTTCATTTTGCCGACGCGCATGGCTACGGCGACGCGCGCGCATACCAGAAACCGGAGACTTTTTTTTGGCCTAAAATGGGTTAATATGATTCTCTTACAGCACCACAAGATCATTTGCAATTTAACGAACATTCCGACCGTAAAACTAGTACATGTATAATAGTATACTAAAATAAAGTCGTGATTTTTCACGTCTGGCATGTATGCCTTCATTTTTAGACAGCCGAGTTAATATGACCTTTTTGTTTTCATTTCCTTGAAAATTCTAGTCCTGCTTTTTTCTTTTTGTTTAACATTTCACAACAACTTAAATATCCCACGGCACAATTATTTTAGTGGTATTGTATATTTTCGTGTTGAAAAGTGCAAATTATAACAGGTTCAAGTTATAAAGGGCACATTTCCTAAACGAAGCTAGATCCAGGCGCTTGACAAAACAATTACCAACAATTATTTATTAATAAACTCTGAATAATTCTGTCTTCAAACGTTTCCGAAATGTTGTCACCGAGTCAGACTGCGATAGAAGCTTTTAAAAACGTGTGAATTATAAATGGATTAGATTCCAATAACAAGTTTGGCTTGGGCATGCTGTAAGAACATCAATCGTTGTCTATACCGCCACGCAGCGGCTCGAAAACCCACATTCAATTTCAACTGCATGTCTTTCTCTTTCTTTCTTACAGCGGGCAAACAAACACCAGTTTCGTCTACGACCCGCCGCCGTCTTTCATCGAGGCCTCAGCCTCGTCCCGAGCGGTCCCAGCCTCGACGGCTGCTGGTCTTACCGACAACGAGCCGCAAGAGCCAGGCCACTATCACACCACGGAACCCAACGAGGCTACGGCGGTTCAGATGCCGTCTGCAACGGGCGAGCCCACGCTGCCATCATACGAGGAAGCCGTGGCTCAAAATGCCGTTGGAGTTTAATTTGTTTTCAAATTGTGAATTGAATGTATATTATTTTATTTTCGTGGACAAGTTTCATTATATTTACTTTACATAATTATCGTTCCGTTATTCAATGCCAGAATGTGAAGTGTCCAATAACCAGTTACATTCACGATTGAATCTACCTTTTGTGAAATGTCATTATATTTACGTTTAAAATTACAGACTCGGGTTTAGGCTACGTCGATTAATCATTATCAATATGTTAGCATCACTCCAAATTTTGAAAGTGTTGCTATAAGGTTTGTCTTTATGATCTGTTTTGATAATTAAGAGTTTCAAACTACCTTCGAATTCATAATATTGCAGTTCTAAGTTTATTTGACTGTAAAATAAATGGCCCCAGTGGCGTTTGAATTTAAGAGTGGCCATTTTGGGGGGGGGGGGGGGGATAGGCGTAGCCAGCGCGAGGGGGGGGGGGGGGGGGTAAGGGGGGTATTTCTTCTTCTTCATTCATTCATTTTCATGATGACTTGATGAGTTGGGCCCAACTGTCCCTGTCGAGCATAGTGTTGGAAAGAGATGGACCGCTCAGACCAGTTTCTAGCTCGATGGATGTTTTCAGGGTCATGTTCGGACGACCTTTTCGTCGAGGGGCTTCAGGATTCCAGAGGAGAACTTGGCTAGCTGGCTCAATATGTCGATAAACATGACCAGCTAGCCGAAGGCGACGCTGTCTGATGGTGGTATGGTGGAGATACGGGGAAGGGCACCATACTATAGGGAGATGTTGTTGCCAAGCAACGTTCTGAACAGCCCGCAACATCCGTGTATAGGTGCCATCAATGGATGCAGAGATCTGTTTGGTCAGGGTCCAGGACTCGCAACCGTAGAGGAGGATGGATTCTACTGAGGTCTTGAAGATCTTAAGTTTGGTGGTCTTGGAGATCGAGGATCTCCAGACTTTTGTCAGTGAGAACAGAGCAGACCAAGCTTGAGCTTTTCTACACTCGACGTCATGAGCTGTTTTGGTGAAGGAGTCAACTTGGTGTAAGTCATCAACTTCATCGAGCTTACTGCCATCCAGTGCAGTGACGTCGTCAGAGGTAGATGGGTTGATGACCATGTACTTAGTCTTCTCTGCATTAAGAGAGAGACCAACGGACTTGCAGCAAGCTTCTACTTTATGGAGGAGAGATTCGGCATCAAGGAGGGTGTCAGCAAGTAGACTAATGTCATCTGCATAATCTAGGTCGGATAGGTATTGGGCAAGGTGTCTACTACTCCTACGGCATGAGAGAGTGAGACCATCAGAGACATTTAATGCTGTCCGCAAGGCATAATCCAGAACTATGATGAATGGGTAGGGGCGAGAGGATCACCCTGGAGAACTCCAGTGTTGACGGAGAACGAATCAGATTCACCTTCGGGAGTGAGAACAACAGCACTTGTATCTTCATACATAATTTTGATGGCATGAATGGTCTCCTCCGGGATATCGTAAACATTCAGGATCTTAACCCCCCCCCCCCCCCCCCCCAATATTTCGTAAAGACTGCCTTTTCTCCATTCAAATGCCCTTTTTGTAACGGGTCCATCCCCCATGAGAGTTCGAAATGCGGTGGAACCAAGTTACTGACAGTGGCCGGCAGCGTTGCAGCTCCCGCTTGTGCCCGGCAAGGTCGTCTGAGTCGGCGGAGTCGGCAGAGTCGGCAGACCCGGTAGGCTCAGTCGTCCCGTCGTTGCAAGCTGCGATGGGTGCAAACTGTCTGCCATGGTGAAAGTGCGGCCTCCTAAGATCTGGTCTCTTTGACCACGGACTCTAAAACGTGTAATTTTTCCGCGTTCCAGTTGAGGAATGCGCAATATAATTATGGAGTCCGTTTTTCATGTTGTATAGACGGCTGGAGGCAACGATTTTACACTGTATAAAAAAAAATTATGGTCTAAGCTAGTTCTGTGATAATAATAATCGATGTCTTCACTGGTTGTACTGTTCTTACCACCGACGTTTAATTTCACTGTTCATGACGCGAGTATTCTCTCCGAAGCCAGTCAGTTTGTTGACAGTCTATTTTAGTCAATTAACACCTCTTCGATATAAAAATCCCACGCGGAAATATAGTGAATGTCTAATGCGGACAACACCCACTGGTAGTTTTCCACACTGCATTGTACATGTTGACGTCAACTTCACGTTTGATCTAGACTAGGCGCAGGGTGACCGTAAGGTCAGAGCCAAATTCTGCTAAATGCACATCAAAAATCTGTCAGATTTATCAAAAATCTGCCAAATTCCCCAGAATTACTCAAAATACACTATTAACACATAAAATCACATGCAGATTGGTAGTATTGCCTTATAATTAAGATTCGAATTACATAATAAACAATCTAGTCACATAAAGATGTTGTGAAATTATTGGTAAATTTCGGGCAAAATGCGGATCTGGCCCTGACGACGAAGTCCGTCTCCCAGTGAACCTCAGCACCTAGACCAGCCAACCTGTCCCCTTATGCAAGGATTTGTGTGAAAGGAATGAAGCTTTTTAAATAAAATGTACACTTTTTTGTTCAAATTTGCTGTTTTTCTGTCAAATAACCATTTTTGCAGAATTTTGCCAGAAATCTGCCAAAAACCCATTCTGTCAAATTTTCTGTCAAACTCGTTTTTTTTGAACGGTCACCCTGACTAGGCGATTGTGATTCAAGTGCAATGGACCGTGCTCAAACAGCACAATAGGTACAATAGACGACACTATATATTAAATTCAAGTTATGCACGCATGCGCATGAGGTATGGAAACTTATTGGTAATATTTTAGTGTTTAATACATGTTTTTCTCAATTCCACTCGGGTATTGACCAAGGACGGGAAAACTTTAAAGACAAATTGTTTGCGGCCATTCATGATGTTGTTGTGTGCACAACGGTAAATAGGCCTAACTTCCTCCGAGCTCATGAATACAATACCCTCAAAATATATTCTAGCCTATATTGAAGTGTTCTGAGAGCCATACAATTGGTTAATTTAAGAGATATATATGGCAATGAGCCACTGGCACGGACTTGAGGTTTCCAATTCTGAGAATTGTGTGGATGCAATAGTGCTCGAAAGTGGCGCTATTTTGACATGCAGTCGGAAGGAATCTTTTTCCAAGATGGCTATACTTTTCGGGGTAAATAGGGATCGTCTTTTTTGGGGGTGAAAATTTCTCGAAAACTGAGTGGTCAACCCACCAAAAAATGAAAAGAAAATGTAATGTGATAGGTAGAAGAAGGAGGCCATGACTGTATCCTTTTTTTTCAAGGGTATGATCGCGGAAAAAAAGTTGAGGAGGGGGCGGCCGCCCCGGCCCTTTTAGGGTTATAAGCTGCAGTGCCAATTAGATACGGTGCTTAATTCTTAAAGATGCTTGCGATACTTAGTTCGCTGCTACGGATGAGTTCCAATTACCAGTTGCGGTTAAATCTAAAACTTTTTGTAGGACCACATACCAAGATCGACCTAAAAACCAATTAGTTTCGTCGTGGTTTAATACAACTTTTTTTCAAGTTTAATTCAGTCCAAAACAAAGCTAACAGGAAATACATTGCGGAGGATGAAATCCAACAAGTTATTTTATGTTGTTGTTATTGTTTGTTTTGGTTCAAATGCTACATTCCCCTCTCTGAACAACACAAAATACTTTCACCTTGAAGGACGCCTGCAGTGTCCAGGCGGCAGCAAAGGTGGATCATGGTGCAATGGGGGCGTTGCCCTGCCTCCCCACCCACTCCTGGCAGGGCCCAAAATAGTGTACTCTGGAGAGCCCTATATCTGGGTAAACATAAACAGATTTGAGTTCTCTGGCTTACTAGTTTCTGGGCTCAGCACAATCGAGTGATGGCCTCTACATGTATACTGCGTGCACAGTTGACATGGCATACTGTGGAAGCTAGGGCCAGGTGTATCATTCATTAAACACACGGATCCTACACAGAAGGATCAACGACTCGGCCAAACTCCTGGTTAGACGCGTGATGACGGCCCGTACTGGTTTATTTGTCAACTTAAAAGACCCCTGCGCGTGGTGGCTTTCAGTTTGCATGGATCTGCGCCCTATCTGGTGTCGAAGTCTGTCAAGCCAGCTAATTATATTGTTGAATATTCATGAGTCTACGGTTTTGGCCTTTATTATTGAATTCTGATAAGTGATAACTGCATAACCGTGTTAATACCGAGCGCAATATCTTGCTTTAAAATGACCAATGAAATGTCGCTTTTGTTTCATCGGTTCGGGATCACATATATCTGCCTAAAACTTCTTAATGAAAGCCGAATTAAAAACAAAATTTGAGTAAACGGTGTTCTCCTCGAAATTTGACGTTTATTTTCAGGATAAATGCTTCATCTATGACGACAAGAAGTGCACAATACCATATGTTATATCCTGTAGTATTTATTTATTAAGAATAATGTCCTACATAAGGAGTAGTTTTGCATACAGTTTTAAGAATATTTCCTTTAAGATGTCATGCACAAAACTGACACAATGGCACACTCGGAAAATTTGCGATTGCAAGCCAACGGGTATTGATGCCCGTTATCACGCGTCTAAGGCAAGTCCGCTCAGTGCATTTTGTACCGGAGCTCAGAACAGTCGTTTATCCTTCAGTGTAGGATCCGTTATTAACAGAACCCACCTCGGTCAGGATGGGTACAGTACCCCTAAACTGACATTCATTTACATTACGGTTGGCACACCTCCAGAAACAAAGTCAGAAATAATTATGTGTGTGTGTGCAGTTCCCATAATGGTGTTGGAATTTACCAGGATAGGTATGATTCCTTGTAAATCATGCTAAAGAGTTGGGGTTTTAATCTGAGAAAAAGGCGCCCTTTTGGTTAATGGGGTGCAACTCCTGCCCCTCACATTGCCCCCCCCCCCCCCTTCTCACCTCCCGCCCCACTTTTCGAATGTTCATTGGCCAGATGGCACGGTCGGTACTTCCCCCGATTTGGTTCCGTGGGCTAACTGTCAATTAGGACTTAGCTACCGGCTGAATATTGCAGCTGATGCCTGATGCTGGTGTTATACTCGCTTAAAGAAATCGCAGTAAGCATGGACAACGGAACGTAGTAAGTACATTTTGTTCACGGGTTATCACTGACGTCGTCACTGTGTACCGTTATTAGCTGTGACTTCTTCGTAGGATGGCGGCGGGGGCTCGCCCGTTGCAGACGGTGCCTCGGCCGGGGTAGCCAGACAGACGTCCTCGTAAGATGGCGGTGGGGGTTCGCATGTAGCAGGGTTGCTGACTGCCTCTCGGGGAAGTCTTCGTGGCATGTTGTTGGTCCTCAAGGCTAGCACCGTTGGGAACGAGGCTGACGCCTCGGTGAAAGACAGCGGCAGGTCGCCGACGAAACCGGTGTTCATTTGGC